CGGTGCTAAACTCAGAAACTTGGATTACTCATTGGGCTAACACCATAAATATGTTTGCAAAAAATCAGAACTACCAGATTTGACGCAAAGTAGCCCAATCTTTAAAACGTTAATTTTACTTCACTAAATAGACAAAATGTTGTTCCAAAATAAGCAGAGATTGTATTATCATAGCTAAAGACCGTATAGAATACACTATAAAATAAACAAACATTACTTAGGAGCAAAAATTTCTGCTCATTACATAAATATATGCGTGTATTTGAACCCGGTACCGATGGAGCATAAGGCAGAAGCTCTGCCTTTGTACCAACCGGTCGTAAACTTTTAGGGCCAAAATTCAGAACAATAATTTCACAATCTTAAAACAAACCCATATTTATTAACAATTTTAGTATTGCCCAAATGGGCAATGCATGGGTTGTAAATACAACCTAAACACAAATATATACTTACACGAACTTGGAAAAGGGCACACTCAAAAACTTTCCTCCGTTAGTCTGGAACGAACAAATAACGGTAAGAAATGCAAGACCGAGCAAATAAGATTTGTCGAGAACAAAAAAAGAATCCGACAAGAAATACAAGATAAACAAACACAAACTCAAATACGAGTGCCCAAAGTCAATTACAGTTGGCAAAATAACATTTTTCCTAACCAATTATGTAGTTTGGAAATGTTCTGATGGCGGGTCAATCGCCCAAGAACTAATAAGACCAATCAACACAAGCGAGTTTGGGTAACTGAAAATGTTGGCGCAATTTAGTTTTTCCATCATACCTATTACAAGTGCTAATACGTGTTAATACTAACTAAAGGAGGCTGCTCGTTTATAATAGGACTGTACATATCTACGGACGCTGAAAACTCACTTCGTATTTAAAATCAAACTTATTAGCAACGTATGCCAAAGTACGTTCACTGTTAAACGAAGCACTATTCTCAAAAATTTCGTTACACAGTAAATTTTTAAAAAGTAGGATAACGGTCCTCTCTATTGATAAAACCGCTTCATGATGCTTGAAGAACTCGATAGCCATGTGGTTGTAGCCTTAGCGTTTTTTTTTTATCTTAGGCGGCCATAGAATGATAGAGTATGCACCGGCTGGTACTCCAACAGTGGGGTTAATCTCAGGTTGTCCAGGTAGGTAGTAACCCCCATCAATGACTATATCGCAAAATAACTATTGAAAGCATAAAATAGGCTAATGATGATAATATCAAAAACTACTGGAGATATTATTTGACATAGCTCAGATATTATAAGACATACTTCAGGTACTATTAGACAACCTTCAGACATTATTGATGAAGATTTACTTGACGATCTATTACTTTATTGCTGGACTTCATTTAGAACCATCTGATTCCAAATGTCTTAAAGTGACAACAAACTATGGTGTGTCAACATTTAAATAGAATAGAAATGTAGTGTATATTATATGAAAAGAAATCGGAAAATTACTCTGTATTATACCTAATGTCCAGACCTTCATCAGTCTTTATTAACTCTGTTTTACGAACAGGTCCACAACATAAAATAAGAGAGTTAGCAAAATCAGTCCTCGTCGTAAGAACTCGTTAAAAGATCATAAATCCGTCCCCAAATGAATGACAGTAAATTTCATGGATGTACGCATTAGATAACTACCTGTAAATACAACCAACAGCATATGAAGTTAACCAAAATTACTCAAACATCTCCAATCCTACTTAATATTATAAATGTGAAAGTTTTGTATGTGCGTGTGTTTATAAAAATATTTCAACACGCAAACCAATTAAAGCCTAGACCCAAAGTAAGCACTGAAAGGTTTGTGTAATGGGATACTAGGGTTACGGATAGAATACTTATCTATACTGATACATTTATAAGTATATTTTTATGTAGATATACATACAAACATCCATGTCTTAGGTACAAATGCTAGTACTCATCATACTAACATTTTCCCCACTGAGTAGACATCACCTTGAAAACCGGAGGTCGTCGTTTGTATGTTTGTTACTTAATCCCGTAAAAACTACTGTACGGATTTAGATGAAATTTGGTACGCATATACTTTATACACTAATGGTAGATCACTAAACATAGGACTTGGGAACACACTGATCGTACGCAACGTTGCATATGACAAGGCGTTTGTTTCCAAGTCATATGTTTCCAACAAATTTCGTAGTATAGATGTGATAATGCGTAGCATATGTTGCGTACGTGGGCTCAGTTTGTCCCTACCTTAATAGTTAATGACCTAGATTTTGAAATAGTATACCTTTTATCCCGGAAAAGTTTCAGGTTCTTGGGGAATTATGCAAAAAACCAAAGTTAATGCGGACAAAGTCGCGGGCGGCCGCTAGTAATAATATACTCGTAAATGTGAAAGTTTGTATGTTTATAACTCAATCACGCAAAAACTACTGAACGGATTTGGATGAAATTTGGCAGGCAATAAGTTTATGCCTTTATTTAACGCAAACGATACTTTTTGTCCCGAATAACGTTAGGTACCTGTAAGATTAAAAAAAAACTAAAAATAAACGCGAACTAAGCCGCAGGCGGCCGTTAGTAAATTATAATAGAATGATTGATGAACTAAGTATGTTTATATAATAGTTTAAAATCCATTGAAAGAGACCCGATTCGTTGTTGATGGCACCTTATAAATAACGGAGTAAAGTTTTGTAATAACAAGATTGAAATTTGATCAAAATTGTCGACTCAATATTAAAATATCAATTTTATGTTTGATCTGCGCGTTGTAGGAAGATTGATGACTACTTAGTAACGAAGTTTAAGATTAATTTTAAGTATTGCCCGGTGCGATTAGTCGATAATGGCATGTAATATTTTAATATTGTTGAAAGACTACCAAGTAATTCTAAAGTAAGCTCTAACAAAATGATTGATAACCCCATCTGTTTTTAAGAGTAAATAACCTTGCCTCAGGTTTCAGACGGGAAAAATAGTTTAGTTTAATGCCAAGCAAAGATTCAAGTAAGAAACGATGCAAATGAGGTATAGATTGTACAAGCACCAAACAAAACGATAAAAGTAAACAGTAACATCATAACTGTTAAATCTTCTTTTCAATATTCATACATAAAAATCATCTCTGTTCATCATATCTTCATTTTCATAGGAAGTCATATTTCAAACGTAAAAAAATCCATTTAATAAAAATACAATATCCGTTTGTTACTTCGAAAAATAGAACTTATTGCATAAAGCATGTCAATAATTAAAGTAACTTGTTTGTAGAGAATGAAGTACTTAAATACTTTTTATTAAAATATTATAGTTTTAATAATTTTATTAAGCAAGGGAAAATTAAATGTTTACTGAAGCTAGGCACCTTTATTTGCAATTAACTTGACGTTCCATCCCTTTGTTACATTCAGAATGGAATGAATTCACAATCTTATTTGACAATGAATTCAACGGGCTTGAAATAACCTTTGATTGATCGTACTTTCATTGATTAGTCGCCTTCCTCAACGGTTCGGTGCAGTCTCGTTTCGTTTTCGTTTCTGTACCGAATCTGCACAGATTCTTTATCAAGTGCATATAATTAAATGAGAGCAAGCGGATAGACAGTTCTCTGTACCAACCTGTTCCGAATGTTACCGAACTATTTGACTCGCGCGTCCCGTCACTCCCGCAAACCAACCCGTAGCAAACAAAATGAAACATGGTAAAGAGTTTGTACAGATTCACCGATTCTTATGAAATTTTGTGTATATATTCAGCAGGTCTAATAATAGGACGTAAAACTGTTTTACATACCTCTATGATGATAAGAGCAACGATATTAAATACCCTAGATACACCACGTGCGCTCAAAATGTATCCTATTCAAGAAGTGCTTGAATACCACTCAAACATTTCTTAGTTCACAATCACGCGCAGACCGTTGAAAAGTAAACATGCCGCAGAGCTCCATGGAAAAATGTGAAAAGAAAACTTATAGTATGTAAAGTGTCGTTTTTAAGACAGATACCTAATCAATGTTTGTTAATTTAACGCATTTATAGCAAATGTTGTTCTTATACTTACTATAAACTGATTTAATAGATAATATTTGTAATATTCAAACGCATGGTCGGTAATATAAAGAATCTCTTCCTCGCGGTCCGTATCTTACTAACTGCTATTTTGCTAACAGCGCACTCAGAATTACTAACAGCGCAAACAGACACAAAATAAGGTCTATATTCATCCGCATATTAGGAGCTTGCATTTCGAACTGCCATAACTCTTTGACGCATGCGTTTTAAATAAGACCTTATACAATATGCAATAAAGGTGACTTCAATTGTTTAAATAATGCCTTTTTTTACTACGCGATCATCTCACGGAGCTCCGTGGATCGTCCAATGTACCTTTTGGACATGTTTCGGTCACGATTTTGTTCGTGATGTTGTATCTAGGGTATTTAATATCGTTGGATAAGAGGCTGCGATCAACAATTCTATAGATAACGAGTCGGCGCCTAAAATCCGTCTCGGTAAATATAACCTCACTCGAGGCGTGACATGTTACATATTTAAAATTACTTCGGTTAATACAAAACGAAGTAACTCGCTGGCCAATGTCTGGTTATTATTAAATATTTTATTTTGTGGGTCGTGGTTAGGTTGATTTCATATTTTCCTTTTTTCACCTTTATCGTTTTTTCCAAGTATCAGATATAATTTCTAAAAGGAAGAGTTCGTTTTATAAGATAAAAGGTCGTATGTGCGGAATAACTTTTTGTTATTTGTAACCTTATATTCCTTTGTGAGACAGTTGTCATTAGGTTCAACTTAAACTGTTTTTAAAAAAAAACTTTGTTAATTGGGAATCGGATGTAGCTGCATAAGTTTAAACATACGCGGACAGTTTTTAGCTTTGATTTTGTATGCAACCCGTTATCTATAGATTGCTGATCGAAGATAAGAGGTAAGAAAAAAATGTCCTTTTAATGTTTTTCAAATTTGGATGTTAATCTAATCCTTTAAAATAAAAGTCAAATCCAGAATGCATAATTTATATAGGTTATAAAAAAATGCTACAATTTAATGATTATATAACAAGAATATCAGTATAGATGAATATCAATATCATACATAAAACAAACTATAACTTTGGTTGTACTTCTTTATACGGTCTTAAAACTTCGCTGACAAAAAATGTATAAGCAGAAAGAATAAAATCTTTTTTTTTATGTAATAGATATACCGCTAGTTTTGTAATATCCTAACCCAAAAACTGTACATTAGGTTCACAGTTCAGTAACAGAGTTTTATAAATGATAAGTTTCTTGCTTACGTTGCTAAAGCATGATTCTTGATTCTTGTAAGGGCGCTGGGATACTCTTCATTGGGTCTGGTACAGTTGACTGGAGCTAAAAACAAGTAATTGCTTTATAAATTACGGACACAAAGTATTATTTGCAAGTACCGACATATTGTGTTTTCAAAATCCATAGCGGTCAGTTAGGTAATTAATTAATATCGAGGATGGTGGATAATAATGTCCTGTCCTAAATAAAATACGTTGGGGTATGCTGGCCTCATGATTTCTGACCAATTGGGAAAAGCTCAGGATTTAAATTATATTTAAACTAGCTGTACCCCGCGGTGTTACCCGCGTTCTATTACGGATATTTTTCCGCAGTAAAACGCAGCCTATGTGTTAATCTAGGGTGTTAGCTAACTCCATACCAAATTTTATTAAAATCGCTCCAGCCGTTTAGACGTGAAAAAGTAACAAACATACACACTCACACGCTCACAACTTTCGCCTTTATAATATAAGTGTGATGTTAAAGTACGAAAGCAAAAATATCTTGAAAAGTATTGTGGCCACCAGGATGACATTAAATGAATGTGCATTTATTCCAGACACTGATATATTTCAGCCAGTGGGGATTCTTAGATTCTTAATTGGACGCGCTTATTATTACAATACAAACAGTAAAAAGGTATCAAATCAAATGATTTCCTTGGTAAGGAACTTACCGGGGGCAATTTTCGATTCTAATGCATCGACCTCGGCGCTCGGATAAGATCCAGCCTTGTTGGCAACACTGTTTCTTTGAGAAAGCACAGTCTCGCGGTTTGGGCTCGGCGCAAGTGGGCGCGCATTGGGATAAACAAGGATCGTAGTTCTCTGAAATAAATATTATAGGTATAAACTAGCTGACCCAGCGAACTTCGTACCGCCATAAAAAAAAAATTAAAAAAACATTGTCCAGCGGACAAAATTGTGAATCTAAACTATTCTCAGATCCCCTTGAACACACACAAAAAATTTCATCAAAATCGGTCCAGTCGTTTAAGAGAAGTTCAGTGACATACACACTCACAGAAGAATTATATATATAAAGATAGCAGAACATGTCAAGATTCATCAAATTAATTAAAAAGGTATAAAAAAAAATTTTACTCTCGCAACAATTAGCTAAGCGCATGTTACATGGGATACTACGATAATGGATAGAAATACATAATTATGGTGTTCCATTAGGTACATTTTTGGAGGAATACTTATCAACAGCCATTACTCAGGTACAAATGCTCGGACTTATCATACAAAAATTTGCTCCTACCTGGATTCAAACCCAGGACCTCAGGGAAACCTGACAACTATATCTTTATCTATAGTGTAATATTTTAAAGATAATAGATTTGGTTGTGAATAGGCTCCGAAATTACTGGACCGATTTGAAACATCCTTTTTCATTTAGAATCCTGCATTATCCGTGACAAACATAGGCTAGAGTATTTTCAAAAAAAACTTTTCAAGTGCGAGTCGTGCTCGCGCACTGAGGGTTCCGTACAAACTCAATTTAATACCTCTACGCGTTCATGAGAAAAGAGGTAGTAACTTTAAAATTTTCAAAAATATGTTTTATTATATGATGTAACCAAAAATTTACGGTTTTCGCAATTTTTCTTTTATCTGTACTATAAGACGTTACTTCGTACCAAATTTCAAGATTGTAGGTTCACGAGAAGTACCCAGTAGGTTTTGATTTCCGCGCGAGTTGCGAAAATTTGCGGCATAAACGGCTGTACCTTGTGATTGCTTTGGCTTAGAAGTTTGATTTTTTTACAGCTAAAAGGGACAGTAGATATGAGTTTCAGATATGAATTTCAGTTTGATACCTCTACGCGTTCCTGAGAAAGTTTTGAGGTACGGAACCCTAAAAAGTTAGCGTTCGGTATGAAAACTTCGATAATGTAACCCAACGTGTGAAAAAAATAACCTTATATCGCGTACACTGAGAAAGTCATTGACAATAAAGCAAAGTGATGTACTGAAGTTTTATAAGACATCAATATTTACAACAAAAATACTGCAATACCATACGTCTCACTGTTACAGTTATTTCACAACTAGAGGTTTCACTCTTGTTAACTTGAGGGGAAGGGTTATAGTGAGTCAAACCTAAAAGATGGTCATATGCTGTCGTGGACTTTTTTATAGAACTTTAAAAGACAGAAAGACTTGGTCCAAGTCTGAGATAATGATGATCTCGCCGAAGTAATATTACAACAACAAAATGTAGGTAATAAAATATTTTCATGAATCTAAAACTAAACGTATAACAAGAAATTCAACTCGTACGGCTTTCTATCCTAACCTTGACAAGATAAGAATTTATTTCATAGAATACGGCATCATTAACTTGATGATAATGTTTCTTTTTTACATATTCTACCATTATAAGAACGTTAAAACGTTTAAAATTAAGTAAAAAATCTAAAAAACATACCACATTGGTCAGCCGGCACACAATCTCCCTTGCTGTTCCTATAGTAACCGTTAGCGCATATGCACTGCGGGTTGCAGTTTATGGCAAGTGCGATACAAGCTCTTGGTGGTTCGTTTACATTCTTACAGTCTGCCACGGTACAAGCACTTGGACAAGCTGCCAACACCTCATTGGGTTTCGTACATTTGGTTATCACTGGAGCTAAAATTAACCATAATGCCCATAATTTATACTTAAATTGTAGCATTTAAATAAATCGGCTGTGTCTTGAACACATAATTGCCATATAAAATTTACAATAATTTATAAGATAATGTAAGTATTAGTCTTAAAGTATACAAAGATGACTATGACCAAAAAATGGGTGAACGGTAACTGCTGCCTGCCAAAATTTTTGAGTCGACGATAATTAACTCATCGCACGGCATGTAGATAACGCTGGATTGATTCTTCTACAGAAAATTTAGACAAATCTTAAAATTTACTAGCTACAAACTGTTCAACAACATTAAAAATATTAGGTCTTTGTATAGGGACAGGGTGGATTTGGAAACTCATGTAGACTAAAAATAAGCTGATGATGAATAACGTAACTGTAATGTTAAAATAAAATACATACAGCAATCGGAAGCCAGGATACATCTGTCATCTGTGTTACTCAACCGCTTGTAGTTGGATTTGCAAGCGCATCCGGGTGGGCAGTTGAGCGGTGGCAAACAAGCCACCTGGTAAGAGTTTCGGGGACAATACTGGTCTGGACATCGGAACGAACATTGCACGAATGTACCGTTTGGTCCGCATGGATCACCACCTTTAATAAAATTAGCTTACTTATAGAACTCTAAATACATCATATAAACAACTTAACTAATGCTATTTTATTATTAATAAATAATTTGAATGCTGTAAATGGAGATGGTGATACGGAAACTGTAGATGACTCGACTTATGTAAACATAATTATGATAATTGATTGAATTATTTTCAAAACTCAAAAACTAATTAAACTCCAGGCTAAGCAAATATTAGGAAAGGTCACAATAGGTCTAATATATTTTAGATCGCAGAGACTGTTTTCTAGTCTACTACTAGTTCCACAGAAATTTGTAAAGTCCCAAAAAGTTTAAATTAATAATACAAAAAAAGTCTAGGTACTGTACTATGCCAGTCCATAGCACATTTGAACTAGAAGAAAACAACACTTCCTTTAAATAGGTATGAAGAATTGTATAAATGCCTATACGAGAAACATAACCATAAAATTTCCTCAAACTGCATTACAACATTAGTTACCTGGACATTTAGTCGCCGGAATACATTGACCGCCAGGTTCAGACCTTATGTAGCCTGGTGCACATTCACAACCCACAGGTTTACATTTTTCTTCACTCGTTACACTTTCAGGTTTATCGCATGTTGGTGGATTAGGGGATGGACACTGCTTAACAATAGCATTAGGATCGCCGTTGCAGGTTGAATTTGCTGAAATAAATAATAATGCCACTCAATTGACTTATATTACAGAAAGAAAGATTTTTTGGATTGCCTTTCATAATAACTGAAGTGAACATTAAATACGTCAAGGAAGTATTTTAATTTCTTTTAATAAAACTTAGTACTGCATTAATAGAAATCGTAAAAAATATATGGTCAATAAAATAGGTATATTATACCTATACCTATCTTTCTTCATGCCGAGTCCTTATATCTATTATAAGGACTCAAAATGTAATATTTACCTGGAAATCATTAAAATTTATATATTTAGGATTTAAGTAAGAAATAAAATTATTCTCTAATTTATAACTCAAAAAATATACGATTGATAACCTAAACTAATATCAAATTGTATTTTTTAGTGATCATTGATTAACTTTTTGAGAATCATTAAGCTATTTTTTCCCAAGCAATATGTATTTTCTGGAATTAGACTATACTCGATTTGATAAATGTTAAGTAATTAGATTCAAAGAGATAAGGGTTCAGTAGTTAGAGCAACCTGTTTGTTTTCTATCTTACGCTATTTTGGCTATTTCACAGGCCTTCTAAAATAAAAGAACACAATGAGGCGGGTTGTACTATTCTTTTTGGATACTGTTAACTTACTTGGACATTCGTCAATCCTAATGCATTTTCCATTCCACTCGGATAGAATGTAACCTTCTTTGCAACAAGTATTCGCAAATGAATAGTTACAGTTCGGTGGGTTTGGCTCAGCACAAGTTGGAGCACATTTTGATTGACATGGATCAAAGCCCTCTGAAAAGTATATAAATTTATTTAAACTGGCATGTGAAGCTCCTACGAAAAATATTCATATTATAAGACAGGTATTTTTAAATCTATGATTCTGCATGAGGAGGATAACTACCTAATAATTTAAAAAAATATTTTTAACCATAATTTGTATTATATTACGCAGAGGAGCTCGATGGCGCAAGTGGTTAGCGCATTCGCCTGCGATCGTTGAAGTTAAGCAACTTTCGCAGTGGTCGGTCAATGGATGGATGACCAAAAAATTTACTATCTTGAGTTCCTCCGTGCTTCGGAAGGCACGTTAAGCCGTTGGTCCCGGCTGCATCTGCAGTCGTTAGCACCCGCCAATCCGCACTGGGCCCGCGTGTTGGGTCATGGCCCAATCTCCCTATTCCATCCATAGGGAAGGCCTGTGCCCCAGCAGTGGGGACATTAATAGGCTGATGATGATGATGATGTATTATATTACTACATAGTATCAAACAAAGTCGCCTTCCTCTGTCTGTCTGTCTGTCTGTCCTTGTGTAAGCTTAGATCTTTAAAACTACGCAACGGATTATGATGCGTTTTTTTAAATAGATTTAAGAGGAAGTTTTATATGTATAAAACAGGTATAATATAGTAGAGAAACGCTGATAATTTTAAAGGTTTCCAATATGATGTCGTAAATAAACACTTTTTTGCGCTTTCATTGAAAACGCTGGCTAAACCCTACGAGATAGATCAAAATAATGTACTACAGTATTGTACAACTTAAAAAGGTCTACAAAAAAGTCCGCGATAGTATGTCTATATCTTAGGGCTAACCCACAATAACCATTTATTATCCTTTACTTTTTACGAGAAATAATGGTTTATTTACGAAGCGATTTTAAGCGATACAGCATTCATCCTTATCCAATTAAGTATCTTTAATTAACTGTGAATTGCTGTAAGGACAGCACGTAATTTAAATAAATATTACAGATTTGAAATGCAAAGTCAGCGGTTCCGGCTTGTGTTATAGTAATTAGGTACATAAAGAAAGTCATTGTGAGCCGTATAAGCCTGAGAATAAAGACTATAATCTACACCACAACTCTACACCGAAGCAAAGCGAGGGCGGGCCACTAGTCTAACATAAATCAATCGGTTCCTCTAGATCTGCTACTTACCGCATTCGTTGGCTGGTATACATATTCCACTGGCGTTCCTATAGAAGCCTTCGGCACATATGCACTTAGATTGACAGTTCAACAAGAGTGTATTGCAAACACTCGGTGGGTCATTTACGTTTCCACATTGTTCCGCAAGGCAGTCGGATGGGCACGATGACCACACCTCATTCGGTCTCGTGCAGTTTACTGGAGCTAAAAAGATTGATATTTCTGGTGTGATATACAAAAACTGCTGCTATTTGTAGTGGTCTCAAAGACGCATGATCACCTAAGTTTACATAATAACATAAAAGTAATTACTGGCTCTTTAATCGATACCAAATGTATAGGTAATATAGCTATACTGCTTTCATGAATACTATTATATCTTTAATGCGAAAAACATATACAAATTTAAGAAGTTACGAAATTTAAGAAATTACATAAAACTCAATGAACTCTCAAGGAAGATACAACCTTCAAAAAAGAACAGGATAAAGAGTTAACTTCATCATGCCTCAGTAATTTGTGTTATTAATTTACAATTGCACATACAACTTTTGCGTGGATCATTCTGGAATACATACGACAGTCTGTTGATAGGATACATCTGTCGTCTTCGTAACTCAACCGTTTGTAGTTGAGTTTACAACCGCATCCGGATGGACAGTCACGCCCAGGCTTGCAAGCTATTTGTACTAGGCTGTCATCGCGAGGACAATATTGGTTTGGACAGCGGAATGCACATGATACGAATGTGGAGTTCGGCCCACATAGATCGCCATCTTAAACAAAGTTAATTGTTCATAATTTCCTCCTCTTTTTGGATTACTCTTCATCTCATTTTGAATGGAATTGGACACACTCGGAATATCATTATTGAGGTGCAATTAGTCCAGGAAACGAAGCTAAAAAAATGGTAAAACCTCGCAATTTTTTCGTCCAGCACCGAGCTGTACAAAAATTTTGGATTAGGCTTATTTCACGCTCTAGTTCATCTTCTATATTGTGCCGTTGTACGCTTTTTGTTTTTTAGGGGTGAAAACTACCACTTCACTAACTATTATCAAAAATTATAAAATAAAATTAAAAACCTAAATATAGGTAAAAATAGTTAAAAAATGATTGTTTAATGCTTTAGGATACAATTTCATTATCTTTCAACCTACCCTTGTTAAAAAGTACTTTTAAAAACATTGAAATTTGTTTAAGCATAGCTCCTTCATTTTAGGTGATAGATTTTTTTTCAGGAGATTTTTGGAAATTTTTAGGAGCTATAAGACTATGTGAATTAAATTACTTATTATCCCTTATTGTAAATGGGGAGAGTTTAAAGCGCTTTAATAAGGTGATGTTCGATCGTAAATGTAGGTGTTAAACGGTTATATCTCGAATATTCACTGTACAAAAAAAAAGAACGCAGCGCAATTTTTTTCATTAAAAAAGCTACAATTTAGTACAATATCGTATTTTTCGTATCTTTAGTATTTTGGTAGATATTTTTACGAAAATGGTGAAAAACACGAAATTGAAAAAATCGATTTTCTGTTTAAACTCCAATTTTTCTAAAATTTTGACATTTTAAATTGGTCAAACTTCGTGGGTGTATTAATAAATAGTACATATATAATGATAATTACAGAAGGGTGGCGATCAATTTTAATTAGGGGGTAATTTAGGAGGTTGTTTTCACAGTGTTTTTTCCTAGAAACAAGCGGGTACCGATTTTATTTTGATCATAGGTCGGCCAATTTTCATGTTAGACATTTTTTATTTGTTTGAAAGCTCTAATTAAATACTTTAAAAAAGATTCTATGAGCTTTCTTCGAATAATGCAATTTTTTCTCGTTATTTCGTAGTAAATCTTCCAATTTATACATTTGGCGAAAAAAGCTAAGTATTCATTTGCTATACTTAGTTCATATTTATCATAGAAAAATTATAAAAACCCATTGTTTTTGTTTTTTTAAAATGCTACATTTTGACTCTCGACAGTTTTGTTGATAAAATGCATATATTTAGGGTTAGTCACAAAACACCATTTAAAAAAGTCGTTTTCAACTTTGAATAACTCAAAAAATATTAGTTTTACGAAAAAAACGTATTTTTTTTTTATCAAATTACTTTTTCCGTCGATTCCTACAGTTAAAATGTATTAAAAAAAAATCAAACCCGAGATGGGGTGGCCCCCAAGGCTCTAGCGTACAGCGGCATGATATAGAAAATGCTCCTTGAGCTGTTCCCAAACTTTTGGGAAAATTGCAATTGAAAATTTGGATGGGTGACCAAAATTTTATTATGACGAGCTCCGCCGTTCTTCGGAAGGTCCCGGCTGCATCTGTAGTCGTTAGCACACCCACCAATCCCCACTGGGCCCGCGTGGTGGGTCATGGCCCAATCTCCCTATTTCATCCATAGCAAAGACCTGTGCACCAGCAGTGGGGACATTAATAGGCTGATGATGATGATGGTTTGCACCTACAAGGTAAAATTTCTGTAGAGGCGAAATGTTGTCACGAAAATAATGCCAATAGCAAGAAATTCAAGTTAAAGTTTTATACCTGAAACGGGTAATATCGTCAGTTCGTCTGTAGCCAATGTTACAGTTAAAATGGCAAAATATACTGTAAACGACAACATCTTGATATCCAATGGTATCATCAGCAGTCTGTCAATGTATTTATAGTCAATGCTTGATAAACATTAACATAGTAACAAAATAGGGGTCTTTACGAAAAATATTATATTAAGGCTTTTTGTACAATTTCTTGAAGATTAGTTTTTTATTAATATGACATCATAGATGAATGATTGGTCTCTGTTCACACGACAGCGAGATCAACAATTTATCTATGTATGACATTAACGAATATTTTACTCTAATTTCTGAGATTCTGCTATCCATCGGACCGTCCATCCGTCCGTCATTTATCTCAAGAACCATAATTGGTAAACAATTGAATTTTTCACTGAATATGTTACCGCTGTAACAAGGAAACTCCCATCATATCGCCGCACACGGGCCACCGACCACAATCACAAAACGCCGCCACCGACATATTTCTTGTAGTTTTCAAACATTTTATATGGACTCGCCACACACGGTACGCCAGTGGCCGCCACACGCTACAAATCGTTTGCTCGCTTCTTGTGGCCCGCACCGGCCACTTAATTCGCCGATACAAAACGCCGCCACACGTCTTTCGCGCGATTCCTCACCACTCTCTCCCTTACCTTAGTCGGCCGCTTTCGCGCGCTTCAGCCACTTTAGTAGCCGCTTCTAGCTTCTCATGGCGGCGTTTGTGCCTGTGGAGTGTGGCCCGTGTGCGGCGACACATGGAAAAAACGTGATACATTCGGGGTTTGTTTCTAGTTTTAATTTCAATCGTCAATTTTGAACTTTGTACGATGGCGCATAATCCTTAATGAGGCAAGTCAACTCACATTGAACAATTTTTGTTTTGGATCCAATGATATTACATGTACTTACAATTGTTTGAATGTGAATAGATTTCTCTAAACTTTAAGATTATCTCAATTTAAATGTTTTTGTCTGTTTCTGTCAAATTTTCTTAAAAGATTGTTAATCTTATGTAGGTACAGCAATAAATCGCAAGGGCACTTAGAGATATTTGTCCCACTTTTGGCTAACTCAAAATGTGGGTGTCTGTAGGTTGAAGGATTTAAATCAAATCTCCGGTAGATATTGTTGAGAAAACGAGGTCTCTGTAATAAACTTAAATATATATATATATATTTATAAGTTTATTATGTAAAGTTTATAGTTCGGCATGTATATTATATATACATGCCGAACCTTGAACTCATTTAATTGTTAATAAAATTCGGTTTTTGTATCGAAAAAATATTTTTACAGGTGTGTATGCGCAATTAATATCATTCAAGCGTAGCACAAGAGGAACATCTTGTTTTATTTTTAATAACATAATTATTAAAATAAAAGTTTACTGCAATGAATGTGTTATTTTGCGGGCTTTTAATAATTTTATTATAGGGTAGTTTATGCACTAGCAATATCCTTAATCTAATCTGTCTCTCATACTTTTCATTTATGTGCACTTTTAGCTATGGCCGTCCTGCTTTCGACGACACCGCAGAGTGCATCGGACATTTTAATTTTCCGCCTTTGGTGTGAACGTTTTAATGGAAGACACTCATGTTGTGATGTAACAGTTAGTAATACTGAAAAATTTTCATTTTTTAATTTATATAAATACAAAAACTGTGTGTAAGTGTGCATGTTTCTTTCCTCTGTCTCCAGGTCTTCAACCAGCTTCTTCGTCCTAAATAGACAAACCCCAGTTGCACGGCTCAGTTTATTTTGTATTTTTATTCATGTATGATAGTATATTACCGCCCCGCAGGCTAGACCACTTTAAACCAACGTCTAGGGTAAACTAATTTAATAGGATAGTATAGTTTACTGAAGGAAGACATCATTTTATTTTTAATAATAACTAGAACTGTAATCACAGTTTTTTTTTTAAATCGCCTGTTACAACTGGGAAGCAAACTCGTGGAATTTGAAAAAAGCACTTGACGTTTTTTAAGTTAACCATCGAAAGGGTAAATCAATAGGATTATTTTTGACTAAATACCATTTTAAATGAAAGGAAGATCATGAAATTAAATGTTGTTCGGAAAAAAATCCTCTTAATGTTCCGTGCTTCCAACAGCTAATGTTATCATTTCAAAGTATTTACTAACTGATACCTGCTCACTTAATAATGCAGGATTTCCTTACTATACGTACAATAAAGCGATACTTATACATACCTAGCACCGTTTCTCTTTAATTGCAGTTTGTGTTCAATTATTAAAAAAAAAAGTTTAATTTCGTAATATTTTCTTTCATTTCAAATGCTATGTTATTCAGGAAAAAGTAATCCTCGTGATCTACCCTTTCGACAGTTATCATAAAATACAAGTGTTTTTTTTTGTTTCACATTTCATGAGTTGAATTCCCGGATTTGGCAAGCGATTTTTTAAAAACTGTAAATGCAGTGCTAAGGTCTTCTTTAAGTAAAATATCCTGTCTTCAAAATTTAATATACTTTCCCTCCGTGTGACCAACCCGTGGAACATCCTATATATTTTAAAAGGCTGACAAACAGGCAAATGGCCCGCCTGATGGTAAGCGGCTGTCATAGCCTATATAGACGCTTGCGATGTCAAAAATATCACTCACGCCGTTGCATACCCTGACCCACTTATCTACCCTGTGGAGACCCTGGAACCGTACTCACCGACAGAAACACAGCACTACCAAAAAATTTAAGTGTTATTTTCACTGTTTGTCCATCTGTAAGGCGGTGTACTCATCGCTCCATTTTAAGCAGAAAATTCGCTATGCCATACCTCTTCAATAGAATATATTCAAAGTTTATTGTACCTTACATTCAGGTGGTTCGTAATTCGAATGCATTTTAGGTGATCATTTACTATTCTTATGAGGATCATTTAGATATTTTCCATATGAATGTAATCACTTAGATACGCAAATAAAAGGTTCTTGGGGTACTGGCGCTGTAAGCTGCCTTCTTGGGGTAGCTTTGTAGAGTGAGGCCGTATAAAGTTAGAAGCTTGGCTCTACATGTGATCTGATAAATTATAGACAGTGCGAGTCATATTGGGTTCGTCTAGGTAACATTTTACATGAAAATGATTTTTGGTGGGATCACATTTCAGACAGAATCATGAGCGAAGCGATGGCTGATTCATGCGTCATGCTCCTGAACGGGTGCTGCAAGCGGAGATGAGTCTACTCTTGCTACATTGGGTACTATTAATCGTTGTATTTAACTTTAATCGTACATTTTTATTATGCCTAAACAGTAGGACACGACATTTCTAAACATTCCTAAACTTTGTTAAATATTTTTTATCTTTTAAAATCATCATTTTTATATCATTTACATTTGTAATGGAAAGTGACTTCATGACTTATCTCATATTGAAATATTTTTTCAATTTGTCGGTTCTTCTCAGTACAAGGTCTCCTCCCGTAGATTTGCGAACCGATGGCGTAGCTTTTCGACATTCAGAAACGCTTGTAACAGCCTAGACTGAATAAACGATATTGAATTGAACGATAACTTTTTTTTTCATATTAATAGCAACCATAGCTTTAATAGCCTATCGTCATCATCATCAGCCTATTAATGTCCCCACTGCTGGGGCACGCGGGTCCAGTGCGGGTTGGTGGGTGCTAACGACTGCAGATGCAGCCGGGACCAACGGCTTAACGTGCCTTCCGAAGCACGGCGGAGCTCGAGATACTAAATTTTTGGTCACCCATCCAATGACCGACCACTGCGAAAGTTGCTCAACTTCAACGACCGCAGCCGAACGCGCTAACCACTTGCGCTATCGAGCTCCTATACGCGGGTATAATGCCGCTTTGCCTTACCTAGCCTACATATCACATTTACAGAATTATAAGTCATAATCCATCACGCGGGCCCTAGTGCAGATGTATTAGTAATTATCACTCGTGTTTTGTCTACATATCACATCTTCATTATCCTCCTTGGAATACAACTCATGAGTAGCATTATCACTACAGACAATAACTAAATCACCCTCCTTTAAGCTACGATGACATTTTTTCCACTTAGGCCTACTTTACAACTGTGTGATATAGTCCCTGAACCATACCTTCCACAAATCTTGCTTAATTTTAGACAACATTTGCCAAAATCTTAATCTACCAATATTTTTATTTGAAAGATCCACTTCAGTGTAACTCATCATAGGTGCCTATAAGGAAGTGCCCCGGTGTGAGATACTAATAGCTGGAGACATCAGAGCTTGTGGGGAGCCGGGGTCTGGAGTTCAATGTTGCTTCAATTCCTTTTTGTTTTAGCAGGATTGTATTTTTTATCTGATTGTTGTCACAAAAGGCACGCCTCGGTTATTTTGTTAGAAGTGAAAACGGCCTGACGCCCCATGTTACACTGACCTTAACCCTACTTTGCATATGGTGTTTACCATAAATAATAGTGCATTTAGCTATAGGAAGACGTTGTACTATAATTTATAATTAATGACTGTAACAACTGAAGGTAAACCTAATAAATTGATAAAAAAATCTCTACAGGGTAAAAAGAAACACCTCTATTGAAATAAAACAATATCCTTTTATAAAAAAAATATTTAATGTTTTACAAAATTTCGATGTAAAAATGTGAATTCAGATTCTGATTTATAGTATTAATTGTTGTAATATTTTATTATTTCATGCATGTACTTATGAATAATTCTATGATATTTATTACTTGTACATTATGGAAATAAAAAGCTATATTATTATTATTTATGTGAATTCAGAATACATATTTATACATTATTATACAATAATTTTATTTATGATAATACAAGAATATCAAAGAAGAATCCTATCAGAACATACACATAACAAACCATAACTCTAGCAATAAGTATTTCTAAATAGAGGGTTTTAAAATTTCTCTAATAAATAAATTGTATAGACACAGAAAATGAGAACACTATATTTGTATTTTATTTACTATTTAAACATCTAGCAGTTAAATGCTTAAAAAAAATATAACTTTTTATTAATTAAAAATTATCATTTTAATTACATGGACATTGATCTGGAGACACACATATGCCGGTAGAGTTTCTGTAATAGCCCTCGGAACAAATACATTTAGGTTGACAGTTCAGTAACAGAGTGTTACAAATGACAGGTTCCTTGCCGACGTCCTCGCATGATTCTTGTAAACAGGCGCTGGGGCACGATGACCACTCTTCATTGGGCCTGGTACAGTTGACAGGAGCTAAAAATAAATAAATAAATAAATAAATAAATATTGCCGACACTCACACCAATTAGCCTAGCCCCAAAGTAAGCACTATACACATTATATATAAATAAGTTATTGCTTTAAAAATAATAATCGAAATCGATTTTATAAGAGCTAATAAAGTTTTATCCGTATTCTTTAACTATTTGACTATAAAATTGAGACGGATGGAATTCATCCAAGGATGGAATAATGTGTTAAACACTTAAGCCTTAATTTGAAATAAGAATTTTGGTGCATGTGGCCATAATAAAAAATAACTGGCCAAGTGGGTGTCGTGCCACGAGCAGTATAGGGTTCCGTAGTGGCCTGTCGTTACCACAATATATTTGAGCAGGAGTCTTTATTAATTACTATCAATTAATATCAATCTATGTATCGAATGTATCAACTAAAATACCTAAATCAAAGTCAAAGTTCGTCTCAAACTCAAATTTAATTCGATATTATTATATTTTTAATACGAATGATAACCGCTGATTTTTATTTTGTTTCTACCCAGGCGGGGGAGTGGGTGTGAAATCCTTATGGTTACCCTACAGCCAAAGTATGGCTGCAAGGTTATGTCAAACTCTTACTGACTAAAAGCTTCATCTGAAGCGATCATCACCCTGAGAAGGGGATGATGCGGTATAACCGTCGATCTTTTCAAGTGCTTATATGACATCTAATAGCTTATAGAAACTAATGACATCTTATTGTGGTTTTTAAATAGTTTATTTTTAGATTTTGTTACAATGTCCAAATCCACCTTAGTCGTTATAGTTTTCCTTAAAAGTACATGAAAAGCACTAGGCTCATGAATTTTCCCAGGTTTTTCCCGCCAAAAGTTGAGCATTTAGTGGGGGGGGGTGCCCTTCTCGAACAAAAATTAGCACTTTAAATTTCAATATTTCGCAAACTAAATCGAAAAATAATCTTAGGAACCCCTTAGTAATTATAAAGGACCTATTCAACGACATTCCACCCTAAAAAAATATTTTTCAAAATCTTATTTCACCACTTAGTCGGTGTGATTGACATACATAAATCCACAAAATTACAGCTCTCTAGTACTTATATAGTAATATACTAATAATCTATAAGCAAAACTGGGATCGGACAGATGGACTTGACTAAACTATAAGGGTTCCTTGTCATGACTACGGAACCCTAAAAAGGTTAAATCCATTTCCAGAAAAAAAAACTTACTAGAGCATCTATGCTGAATACCTGTAGGTATAAACTACCTAAAAGTACTTTGATTTCTTTTGTATTGCAAGCAGCTATAAGTTTCGGTGGTAGCTTATCACAAGGTAAAAATTTATGTATTTATGTTAGTCTTTTTACTTAAAACAATATTTATGTACCTAAACCTAGTAATGACTTACCTACCTTGTAATTACTTAACTAATAAAATAATCTTTAAAAAGCAATACACTCACGACAATCTGAAGCCACTATACACGTGTGGTCATCGTAACTCTTCCTTCTGTGATTAAATTTACAAATGCAGCCGGAGACACAGTAATCATTGCTGCAATCTTCTACGTCGCGGCTATCGTCTTTTGGGCAGTAACTGGACTCGCATTCAGTTCTGCATGGCACGAAAACCTCGTTCTCTTTACATGGGTAACCTCCTGAAATATATTTGTACCAATGCTGATACAGGAGATCCTGAATATGTTATGAGGTAAACAAAGCCTTAGATTATGCGACATCTACCCGTTTATTTTAAAATTAAAATCGTAGTAGGCAGCTTACCGCATTTAAAATATATTAATAAACAAATAAATAACATGGGAATGCATGGATGTCCGTCAGTATGTCAGTGGGCTGTATTTCATAAACCGAAACAAATCATTTTTCTCAATTTTATATGTTCTCAATTTTCGTAATCGCCGGTCTTCAGATAGGTGACAAAAAATGTTTAATTTTCATATCTGCTCAATAGTCGTTGATCTCGGCTGCAATTGCAGTCCACACCCACCAAACTATTGCATTGGACCCACGTGGTTGGTTATTCACAATACTCCGTCCAGTCCATTCTCCCTATTCACAATACTCCCTACTACAATTATTACAGCATCTCCTTTTTGTTCTCATAGAGCATTGTTAGAATATACTGCTGCCCATTTTTTCTAATTAAATTTCATAACGTTTCCTGTAGGCTGACTGCAGTCTACTGCAAGAGAAATTTCACCTTCCCATGACTGACGCTCCGATGCAAACATGAAATCCGTTATGCCCTAAACGATTAAAACTAATTATCAGTAAATATTACCTGAGCACTCATCTGGTTTAACGCACTTCCCGTTGTCACCTAATAAGTAACCTGGAGCACATTCACAGCCTACTGGATAGCATACTTTTTTACACGGTGACACATTTGGCCGGGTACATGTAGAAGGACAACGCGGTGGACACAGTTTCACTACTGCGTTGGGATCGCCGTTACAAGTTGTATTCTCTGTGAATTAGCAATAATAGTTAAAGATTTAAAAAGGTTCTAAAGTAACGATTATGTTTACAATCACTGTTTCTTTTCACGTAATTTTACCATTTTTCATACTAAAATGAGTCAAAGGTAAATTTTTGAACAATAGCAGGATTCTGTAAAATAAAATCTCCCTGTCAACATTACTTTAAAACCAATGTTTTTAAAACTAAATTGGTCACAATGATAGCAGTAAATGTGATAATAATACCTGAGAATAGTTTGCATAAAAGTAACAATTTTTATCACAGGAAAAGCTAGGGGCTTAACTTACTGGGGCAATCTTCGATTTTAATGCATCGGCCTCGGCGCTTGGATAAGATCCAGCCTTGTTTGCAACATTTTTTTTGTGAGAAAGGATCACAGTCTGGCGGGTTAGGCTCGGCACAAGTAGGAGCGCATTCCGATAAACAAGGATTGTAGTTCTCTGAAATAAATATAATATGATAAGAATAGTAGAACAAAATTCAGCTTTGGATGATTTTTGAAGGATATGATAACTCTTTATTATAACACCAGGGAAGAAACAATAACATTTAAATTAATCTAGAGTCCAGACTGTTACAAATGGTAGTCTTATCGCTAAAAGCGTTTAAACATTTCTTCCAGACAACCGTGGAAAGTTTAACAGTTACTGAAATATTGACGTGTTTTAATTCAGTATTAGGCCAAAAGATTTACTCCATTCAGTTGTGCGATCTAAATTGGTACAGATACTTAAGCTAGCCTCATTCAAATGTAAAGCAACTACTTGGCAATGTAACTGAAGTTCATCTGCATACAAGAGGTGGGATGAAGAAATATTTTGAGAAATGGTGTTAATAAGTATTTAGAAAATAAGAGAGGAGATAACTCCACCTTGCGGTACGCCAGCAGTGGTCGAACACCAAGATGAAAAATTCTCAGCCAAGCTGACCCGCTATCGACGTTCATATAAATAATTGTGAAACAAATCATTATCGTTGTAGATATGTTAAGAGATCGTAGTATTGCTATGGGAATATCCAAATCTATCTCTATAGGATACAAATATTAATAAATATTTTTCACATTCACACCAATAAAGGTGTCATTCCGAGACGGCGCGTAGCGACCGCAACGCATACTGAAGTGACCGAGCCATGGTCATATGCATTGTGCAGCCGCGCAGTGCCACCTGCGGTTGCAGTCTGCAGCCCGTCTCGGAATTGTACCTGTAGCGTACCTTCCCGTAGATTTAAGTTTAAAACTGATACTTACCGCATTGTTCAGCCGGTACACAATCTCCTTTACTATTTCTATAGTACCCATTAGTACATATACACTGCGGGTGGCAGTTTATAACAGCTGCGATGCAAGCTCTTGGTGGTTTGTTCACATTCTTACAATCATTTACGTCGCAAGGAGTTGGGCAAGCTGCCAAAATCTCATTCGGTTTCGTACATTTCTTTTTCACAGGAGCTAAAATTACCCAATTATATCAATAAATTTGAATAAATTATTTGTACTTTAAATATTAATTGATATGATTCTTCCAAGAAATGGGTGAATAGTGACTGCTGATGGCGAAGTATGAAAGAGCGAAAAATATTGCGCTAAATACAATTATAGTTTGGAGTTTTTAAATTTTGGACACTTGGACAATCACTAGTCGGGGTGCAATCCCCATTACTGCTAGACCATATTTTTTTAAATTTCACACTATACTCTGATTTTGTTTGCAACTTTTCGGATTGGGGTTAAGCAAAACGGTTTGCATCTAAGTACATGGCAACATATCTGTGGAGGCGAAATGCTATCATAAAAATATTACTATTATGCAAATAGCCAGAAATTCAAGTTAAAGTTTTATACCTGATATTCTCGTCAGGTCGTCAGCCAATGTTACAGTTAAAATGGCAAAGAACACAGTGAACGACAACATATTGATATTCAATGGCATCATCAGCTGTCTGTGAATATATTTGTAGGCAATGCTTGATAAACATTGACATAGTAACAAAATAGGGGTCTTTAAGAAAAATATTGGATTTGGGTTTTTTTTTTAATTTCGTTAAGACTATACATTTTATTAATATAACATTTACGAATATTTTTCTATAATATCTAAGCCTCTGTAAATTTAGAAATAAGTCGCCCGTTTTGGGGTTTGCGAAGGAGAGGGAAGGGGTGGGGGAAGGGAATTGAATCCGCCCCCCACTTTTTCCGGTCGCCAGACATACTTATTATCTTTCATAAAAAAAGGTCTTTTAAAAAAAGACTGGTGCTTCGCCGGCCGCTGCCGCGGCACGCTCGCTTCGCTCGCTCGGCACGCGCGGTATGGTCACAACACTAACCTAACCTAGTGTGAAGTAGGTAACACCACTTGGGCCCTGGAAGTACAGTTTAGCCGCGATGTGTTCTGCATATTTTTTGAGTTAACACCAATCCGTTTTCTTCAGCGAATGTCACACGCTGAAACACGGGAGAACTTTCACGAAACCTCGAAAGCAACGGAATTAATAACGCACAACGTATCTGTCAAAACTTCTTCTGTCAAAGATTGTCGGATAACTAAATGCACGGTGTATAAGATCCACACTGATATTATAATTATGTTTTATTACCAAATAGCTAAATTGTAATTAGTAGTTGAGAGCAATTGGAGACATTTTTCACGTTTTGGCTAACTCGAAATGTGGGTGTCTGTAAGTTCCAGGATTTAAAACAAATCCTGGGTCCTGTTGAGAAAAAGAGTTCTCTATAATAAATAATACTTAAAAAAATATTTAAATACTTATTATACTTATGTATACATGCCGAACCTTAAACTTATTTCATTGTAACTAAAATTCCGTTTTTGCATAGAAAAAGTATTTTTACAGGTGTGTTTGTGCAAATATCATTCAAGCGTAGCACAACAGGAATATCTTGTTTTTTGTTTTAATGACATGGGTCATTATTCGAGACTTCATTAAAATTAAAAAAATATGTCAAGACGTTTTATATTGAATTTGTTTTTTTATGGCCGTGAGCACCTATATTTATCACAGTTATAGTTTCAGAGATCGATAAGACTTATCTACTAAAAAAAGAACTCAAAAATGATTTTATAATGCTAACGAAAGTGATCCAATGACCAAGAAAAATAACACTTTCATAAATAATAGGCTCTTTTATTAATTAATAATTAATTTATACCTTTCAAATGATAAAGATCAATAAACTTATAATGAAAAAAATATCAAACATTTGACCACGAAAGTGATGTCACCCTATGTTACTTCAAAATCGACGGTGGAAAAGCAAAATCGCTTGTACGCCACTTTGGTGCTGTTTAAAAGTTTACATTAAATAAAAGTGATATAAATTCAATTTTTAAGCAGCACCAAAGTGGCGTATTAGCGATTTTGCTTTTCCACTGTCGACACATATTATTAATAAACAAGTTTTAATCACTCCGAATCCGAAGAGTAACACCTGTTTTTTTAAAGTGAAACTTCGGACGGGGTGTAAATGGAAAAATCGTATGGAAAGTATGAAACGGAAATGCGAACGAGCGTGTGTGTGTGTGGGATGCGTTTTTAGCTCTTGTCGACGAGCATGAAAGTTGGAGGGTAAAAGTCGGCGAAGTCTGTAAATTTTTGTAAAATTTTATATGCATAATCAGTAGGTCAGAGAATTGGACAACATCTATTTTTCATCCCCCTAAATGTTAAAGGTTGTTTAAATAAAATAAAGTTAAAAAAAACACTTTAATGTTTTTTTGGATTTTTTTTATTTTTTTATTATACATCTTACAAAAATTCATACAACCCTAAATTTTCACCCTTCTACCACCAACCCCTATTTTTTTATGGCGGTACGAAGTTCGCTGGCACAGCTAGTATATACTCGTATATACCTATATATATATGAGTGGTGATTGCGCCTTATGCGTCACCTAATGTTAGGTTATTTAAGAAAAGAATTTTCACTGCAGATTTGTGGCCCGCGCACACATTTTTTTTTTACTTTTACGATGGTATGGTGCTCCTTCATAACACACACCAAGAGTATCTGTTGAAGAATCTGTATTAAAAAATGGCGAGCCTGCTGCACTGGTAGCATTCGCATTCAAGGCTGTAAAAGGATTCTCTCGTTCTGAAGATTCAGATGGAGATGTTGAGCCTGCTGCACTTGCGGCATCCGCGACCAATGCTGTATCTGGAGCCTCTCGATCCGAAGTTTCAGAAGGAGATGGTGAGTCTGTTGCACTCGCAGCATGCGCATCCAAGGCTGTCTACAGATGTTATGTTTGTTGCGAAGTTTCAGATCGAGATTGCGAGCTTGCTTCACTGACAATATCTGCGTTCAAGACTGTATCCGGATCCTCACGTTCCGAAGTTTCAGATGGAGATGGCGAGTTCAGATCGTAGCCATATATCATTTCGTGGTCCATAGGACCACAAAAGTGATGACCACTAAGGTGTACGTACTACGTACTTTGCCTGCTATAGTTCTAAAGTATTTTGAGTTTAGAAAAAATACAATATCCTATTTGCTACATACTTATTTCAAACAGATTTAACCTGTTATTTTGTTATTTAATTAAAATCTTACCAAAGTACCCCAATAACGAAAGTGATGTACGATCTTTTCCTCCAACCCTTTTGAGGAATAAAATATGATTTTATACAAAAACAGTTATCAAGTCACACCCAAATATTTTTGGCAATGAAATGACAGCCAAAAATAGTGTTGTTAGTATAAAAATATTTCGATTGTTACGGTTTTATTTTATAAAAATGGTACAAAATATAACTGACCACGAAAGTGACGACATTTTTCGGAACAATATATCTTAGTGTGCCGATGACACAACTTTTATTGCTACCAAGCTGTATCTAGAATCTTTAAAATGTTTTTCTCTCTCTCTGTCTCTCTTTCCAAGCTAAAAGATCTTCAGGCAATGGTGAATACTGTTTACAAAAGCAGTTTAAACGCCATTGAACATAACGAAAACAAAATCCATAGCGATATCGCGAGACCGAACTCTTAGTCACGACATAATAATTGCTGAACCACCTCTCGAAAGAGTCATACAGTACAAGTACCCAGGCGCATGGGTCAATAAAATATGGGAGTCCGACAACGAAGTCAAGGCCCGGATCGAAATAGCATAATAGCCAGTGCGTCATTCAACAGAATGAATAAGGTACTTTTTATCAAACAACTTCACCTTAATCTCAAGATAAGATTTATTCATTGTTACATCTGGCTAATAGTCTCTGGTTGTAAGGCGTGGACCATTAAGGAGAACATACGCCAAAAACTGGAGGCCCTTGAAATGTGGTTTTACCGTCGTATGCTCCGGATAAGCTAAGTACAGTGAGTCTCATATGAGGAGATACTCCGACATGAGAATAAATCCAGGCAACGCATGAAGATCCTCAAGAGAAGAAAGGTAACCTTTCTTGGTTATATTTTAAGACATGAGCGCTATCATCTTCTCCAGACTATTATGATGAGAAAGATAGAGGGGAAAAGACACGTCGGAAGAAGGAAGAATTCGTGACTCCGACACCACAGAGAATGGATTGGTGTCGCTAGCGTGGAAGACCTATTTCGTCTTGCATGAGAAAAAGATAAATACGCAGAGCTGATGGTCAACCTCAAGTAGCGGTGAGGCATCATAAGAAGAATAAAAAGATCTTCTGTAAGGCGGGAGTACTTCCCCAGACGGGTGGTCCCATTCGAGCGAAAATCCGCTATGCCCTACCTCTCTTACTGGAACAAATCCAAGGAAATCGGGGCAGATGTTGGTCAATTTATAAAACGAGAACAGGCATAACTTACTACGTGGTCGCAGTGCCGCAGAGCTAGTATCACTCGTACCTTGCCTACATATAATATTTACAGAATTATAAGTCACTAGTGGCCCGCCCTCTCTTCGCTTCGGGGTAGAATTGATCAAAATCCTTTCTTAGCGGATGCACGGTAATATTATCTATACAGTATTCTATCTTCATACAAACGGTCGGAAAGCGTGTCATACCTACGCCACTCGAGTTCGCGAGGCACCCGGTGGGCATCCAGCCGCGAATGCGCCGCAGCGACGACCGAACGGTGTGTATTGTTTTTTAAGCAGTTAGCCGTGCTTTAAAGTTTGTATTGAATTAAGTAGATACCTACATAATTTAATATGGCAAAGAGCAATAGTCGATATTGTGTTGTTTTTGGTTGCTTGAACTCTTCAATAAATAAACTTTTGATACGAATGCGTATTTATTATACTATTAAACCTGACTGAATTCTACACATTTTTTTTTATTGTCTCCAATCTGACGATCTCCGTGGTCGAGTAGTTTGTATGCCGGGTTTCAAGGTGTCGCCTACTCGAGAGGTCCTGGGTTCGAATCCGGGTAAGTGAGATGAACACGAGCATTTGTATTCCAGTCTTGGATGTTAAATATTTTTTTCTATATAAATATGCTTATATATCTATTAGTATATGTATTCTATCCGTTAACATAGTATCTAATACAAGCTTACAGTACTTACTTTGAGGCAAGGTTAATTAGTGTGTGTGTTGGAAATATTTATTTATTTATTATAAATGTGGTTATACTTCTTTGTTTAAATAAAACACATCCCCAGCAAATGGGATATTTTCAAATGAGAGGAAGTTTGCTAAGGTGGTTTCAGTTTTTAAGTCGAGAAACAATAATTTAGGAACACATTGAAAACCAGTATCAATATGGTTTTCTAAAATCTGGATCAACATCAACAAACCTGGTTTCCTTTGTTGAGAAATTTACTTAGAGGCTATTGATGCTCGGCAAGAAATCTTATTCATTTACATGCGTCTTATTGCTTAAGTTTTTGATATCCTTTCAAACCTTTTATTCAGAAATTGTCGATGTTTGATATTGCAGGAGCTTCACTAAACTGGTTCGAAACCTATTTAAATAAGCGTAAGCTTTTTTGTCATCAATGGTTTCAATTCAGAAAAATATGAAATCAATTCCGATGTACCGCAGTTATCTAATTTGGGGCCTATTTTATTTAATGTTTTCAATAATGACACTGTATATTATAATATCTCGCATTAGAATGCGAACCAGAGTTCATACTTGTATGTCGATGATTTGAAGTTGCTCCGAATAATCGAAAGCAAAAGAGACAGGAGGATTTGAGTAGCTTGATTGTTTACGGTTTGCAACGGAATTTGGATAAGTGTATTTATATCAAATTCATTAGAAAACTGCTCTTTATAAAATAAGCTTTTCATTATTTTAATAATACAAGAAATTGACCACATAAAAGAATTAGGTCCAAAGAGCTTCTAGCACACTTGGATTTATTGAGAGTAAACATGAGATTTCGCAGTTTCCAGGCAAGAAGGGTACTGTACTATTCGTTTGTTTTAATGGAGACCACACTATGCATGCCACTCTGAGGTTGGATCGTATTCAAAAGAGATATCTTTGGCATTTAGTACTACATTAGTTACAGATATTGGAAAGGATTTTCAAACAAAGACAGACTAAATCATTTTAATTATACTCCTTTAGAAAAGCGTAGGATATACTTGATCTCACATTTTTGTATGAATTATATTTAACAATAATTTGAGAGATTGACTGAATTTGTAAATTCATTTATTATTACTTTATTTTGAATGTAACTAGTAACTATATAGGTACTTTATACGTGGTGTTTACCTTAAGTAATTGTGCATTTAGCTATAGTGTAGTACTGTATAACATATAGCTGTATAATAGTTTTCGCAATCTATGTCTGTAAAATCTTGGGTAAAACTAATAAATAAATAAAATAAAATGGCATATAGCTGTATAAAACCGCCTCAATTGAAAGAAAACAATTTTATTTTATAAATAAAAATATTTGTTTTTAAATCTTTTACAAAATTTCAATGAAAGTATGTTATATCAAATCCAGAATTCATAGTTTATACATTATTACACAATATAATACAATTTACTTATTATAATAAAAGAATGTCAAAGAAGAATCATGAAACACCAATAACAAACTATAACTTTGGCAATATTTCTAAATAGACGGTTTAAAAACTTTGCTGAAAAAAAAATTGTATAGAAACAAATAATGAGAAAATTATATGTTTTATATTAAATAAATATTTTAATTACATGGACATTCATCTGGAGATACACATATGCCGGTAGAGTTTCTGTAATAGCCCTCACAACAAATACATTTAGGTTGACAGTTCAGTAACAGAGTGTTACAAATAACAGGTTTCTTGCCGACGTCCTCGCATGATTCTTGTAAACAGGCGCTGGGGCACGATGACCACTCCTCATTGGGTCTGGTACAGTTGACAGGAGCTAAAAATAAGCTTATTGCTTTAAAAATTATAATCGCAATTGAATTTATGAGAGTTAATAGTGTTTTATCCTCATTCTTCAACTATTTGGGTTGATCTCAGATTATCTAGTCGCAGTGTGACTAACCGTAAATTAATGACTATATCGCAAAATGACTACAAATAATTTCGTCTAGATCTTAAATTCACTACATTGCATAATGCCTAAGATCGCAAAATGTCCAGAAAAATTGTTGTGTCGTCTATAATATAGAAATATTTAAAGAAAAGTTTACTAGAAAAAAAAATCCACGCAGACCAGGCAGCGGACGGGACTCGAACCCGCATCCTTCGCTATCCGGGCGAATGCACTGACCATTATGCCACCACGGCCTTATTAGCCGCGTCGAAATTTTTCTAGCCTTAAGCTGCAAGGCAGCGCCATCTCTTCGCATTGTAGGTAACCCACAATGTCAAATGAATACTTTTTCAAGTATTAAACATTTGAAAGAAGAAATAGCAATTATAGTTATGATTTTATTTATTATTTAAGCATTTAACTGCTAGATGTTTAAATCTAAAGAAAAGTTTACTAGAAAAAAATCCACGCGGACCAGGCAGCGGACGGGACTCGAACCCGCATCCTTCGCTATCCGGGCGAATGCACTGACCATTATGCTACCACGGCCCTATTAGCCGCGTCGAAATTTTCCTAACCTTAAGCTGCAAGGCAGCGCCATCTCTTCGCATTGTAGGTAACCCACAATGCCAAATGAATACTTTTTCAAGTATTAAACATTTGAAAGAAGAAATAGCAATTATAGTTATGATTTTATTTATTTTTTAAGCATTTAACTGCTAGATGTTTAAATCTAAAGAAAAGTTTACTAGAAAAAAAAATCCACGCGGACCCGGCAGCGGACGGGGCAAAATCATAACTATAATTGCTATTTCTTCTTTCAAATGTTTAATACTTGAAAAAGTATTCATTTGACATTGTGGGTTACCTACAATGCGAAGAGATGGCGCTGCCTTGCAGCTTAAGGCTAGGAAAATTTCGACGCGGCTAATAGGGCCGTGGTAGCATAATGGTCAGTGCATTCGCCCGGATAGCGAAGGATGCGCGTTCGAGTCCCGTCCGCTGCCTGGTCCGCGTGGATTTTTTTTTCTAGTAAACTTTTCTTTAGATTTAAACATCTAGCAGTTAAATGCTTAAAAAATAAATAAAATCATAGAAATATTTTTTATTTTAATTTAGAGATAAGGAAATACTAAGTTTAAAAATTATATTTTATGATTTGAGTTACGTAATGGTAATTAATATTTAAATATTGCTATTTTCCCAAATATTATAGTTTCATTGGACTGTACATTCATGTAACAAAACACAAACTAGACAAATAAGCTATCTAGTAATTTTGCGACCTAGTCATTATAAAATGTGTTCAAACAATGATCTAGTCATTTTGCGATATAGTCATTAATAGGGGTTAGTCCCACTGCGACAAGACAATCTGTGATCAACTATTTGACTGTAAACATTGACAAAAATGGAATTCGTCCTAGGATGGAATTGTGTTAAACACTATTATGCCTTAATTTGAAATAAGAATTTTGAGGATTTTAGGAGCTCGATGGCGCCAGTGGTTAGCGCGTTCGGCTGCGGTCGTTTAGTTGCTCAACTTTATTGAGCAACTTTCGCAGGGGTCGGTCATTGGATGGGTGACCAAAAATTTACTATCTCGAGCTCCTCCGTGCTTCGGAAGGCACGTTAAGCCGTTGGTCCCGGCTGTATCTGCAGTCGTTAGCACCCACCAACCCGCACTGGGCCCGCGTGGTGGATTATGGCCCATTCTCCCTAATCCATCCATAGGGAAAGCCTGTGCCCCAGCAGTGGGGACATTAATAGGCTGATGATGAATAATTTTGGAGCAAGTGGCCGTAATAAAAATAAAGGCTAGATCCGATTCCGATCTATCATACGTTCCTGCAGGTATAAAGTACGTACAGTACAGGTACTTTGATTTCTCTGGTATTGCTCTAAGTTTCCTTAGTGGCTTATCACCAGGCAGACTATTCATGTTAGCATGACACTGTCTTATTACATAAAAAGAAATGTTTATATACCTAAACCTATTCAGTAATTACTTAACTAATAGGAGAATCATAAAAAAGCAATACACTCACGACAATCCGAAGCCACTATACACGTGCGGTCATCGTAATTCTTCCTTCTGTAATTAAATTTACAAATGCAGCCAGAGAGACAAAAATCATTGCTGCATTTTTCTACGTCGCGGCTATCGTCTTTTGGGCAGTAACTGGAATCGCATTCATTTCTGCATGGCACGAAAACTTCGTTCTTTTTACATGGGTAACCTCCTGAAATATATTTGTACCAATGCTAATACAAGAAGTCCTGAATAGGTTATGAGGAAAACATACCATTGGATCATTCGAACGAATTGTATTATGCTAACAATACGAATAATTGAATAGTAACTTGTTTACGAACGAAGATTGGGGCCCAAGTAATACATGTTTTTGTCTTCATACTATTTGTGAATGGAAGCATACAGCTAATAAAAACTTAGTTCGATAATGTTTTTTTATGAAATCGGTGGCACAAGAAAATCTACGAGTTAGCAGTTCCTCCGTCCGTCCGGGTATTACCGGGCTGTATGTTATAAACCACAATGACAGTTAGTCGAACATTGCACAGAAAGTGTAAATCAGTAACTAAGAGAATGTTTTTAATAAATTTACAAAATAGGAAGGAATACCTACTGCTGTTAAATTAAATGTTTGGCCTATTAATACGCTTAAGGAGCTTGATGGCGCAGTGGTTTGCTCGTTCGGCCTGCGATCGAGAAAGTAAAGCAACTTTTGTAATGGTCGGTCACTAAAAACTTATTATCTCGAGCTCCCCTATGCTTTGGAAGGCATGCTAAGCTATTGGGCCCGGCTGCATTTGCAGTCGTTAGCATCCACCAAGCCGCAATGGGCGGGCGTGGTGTATCATAGCCTTTATCTGCCTATTCCATAGATAGGATGACCTATACCCCTGCAGTGGGAACATTAATAGGCTGATGATGAAGAGGTTAAAATGTGTAAAGTATACTGTAGGAGATAAGCTGGCTCCAGTCTACTGTAAGTTGCATGTTACTTACCCAATTGAGGAAAGTCGTCATACCCTATTTCATTGAAACTAATTATCATATTATATCAGGAATATATTTTACCTGGGCACTCGTCTGGTTTAACGCATTTCCCGTTGTAATCTAATCTCAAGTAACCTGGAGCACATTCACAGCCTACTGGCAAGCATGCTTTTCTGCACGGTATTTGATTTGGGCTGTCACAAGTAGAAGGGCACGGGGCCGGACATTGTTTCACTACAGCGTTGGGATCGCCGTTACAAGTTATATTTTCTGTGAATTTGCAATAAAAATTTTATAAAAAAGACTTATTAAAAAAGTTCTTAATTTAAATGTCTTAGGCTTATGTTTACAATGGTTTGTTTTGTTTTGCTTTAAAATTTGCTTTTTTATATCATTTTAACATTTCCCTAATATTAATTAAATAAAAAAGGGCTACAAATGATATTTTTACGCCAGAAGTCGCTCTACTTATGATTAAGCGGCCAGTCACCAATAGACATTAACAATTTGATAAAAAAAACCGCATTCGACGATAAGATTGCATGTTACTTACAAACTGCGATATTTCGAATTCGAAGCCTATGTTACTCAGGGATAATGTAGCATTCTTATGGTGAAAGAATTTTTGAAATCGGTCCAGTAGTAAGTAGTTCTTTCGTACATTAGTTGAGTCTATGTTTATAGAAAACAATCTCTTTATCGTATATAAATATAGGGATAGCTTTATAAATAACATGGGTGTTTTAGAATTACTCAGACACCATAGCGGCAGAGTAATTTATTTTATTATTATGACCAATATTAAATACATTTACTGCTTTATTGCCATAATTAAAACACAAAAACGGCCTAAGTTGGAGTTCCGACAGATACTCATGAATATGCTCCCCTTCGTCCTACCTACTTTAAAAGAAGACTTCGAATTTTACTAAAACTTCTCCGCGTGGTTTTATCTTCTTAATGTTTCTTGAGCACTCGAGTCACCAAATTTTATTCTTTAAATAGCAAGTACACTTTACTTTAAGATTCCAGACTATACTACGAGTTCTAGATTCTAGCCCCACTTAGGTACTGAATGCTGAATTATTAAAATGTTAAAACAAAAATATCTATCAAAGTATTTGGTCACAAGAATAGCAGCAAATGACGTTCAACCATTAAATTGTTAATATCACCTGATTTATTTTTGCTTAAAAGAAACAGTAAAGAAATAAGAAATCAAATAACTTCCTTGAAAATAAACTTACTGGGGCAATCTTCGATTTTGATGCATCGGCCTCTGCGCTCGGATAAGATCCAGCCTTGTCGGCAACACTTTTGCTCCGAGTAATGATCACAGTCTGGCGGGTTAGGCTCAGCACATGTGGGAGCACATTCCGATAAACAAGGATTGTAGTTCTCTGAAATAAATATAATATTTTAAGCATAGTAGAACAAAATTCATATTTGGATGATTTTTTAAGGTTACGATAAGATAACTCTATCGTATGATACAATATAATACAAAAGTTTAATTAATCTAAGAGTGTAACAAATGGCAGTCTTATCGCTAACACCATTTATAAATTTCTTCCAGATAACCTTGGAAAGTTTGACAGGTACTCAAACATTAGGGTGTTAAAATTCACGATTAGGCCAAAAGATTTACACCATTCACCTATTCGATCTAAATCGGTGGAGATAGTTTAGATTCAACTGTGAAGCAACTGCTTGGCAATATAACTAAAGATCATCTGCATACAAGTGGTGGGACGAAGAAAGATTTTGAGGAAAGTGGTGTTAATAAGTACTGAAAGTAAGAGAGGAGATAAGATGCCTTGCGGTACGCCAGCAGCGGTCGAACACCAAGGTGAGAATTTCTCGTCCAAACGGACTCACTGTCAACAAATAATTGTGAAACACCTCGATTACCGTTTGAGATATGTTACGAGCGCGTAGTAGTGCTAGAAGGATTTTAAAGTCTACTATTAAAAGCATTGCTGCAGTTCAACAATTTTAGTACCGATAGGAATCCATGTTCAAATTAAAATATAGAATATAAAAATTTATAAATATTTCTTACATTCACACCAATTAGCGTAAGCCCAAAGTAAGCACTGTGTGTTTTGTATTATGGGATACTTGATTAATATAATAGTAACGTATAGAAAAACACAAGTAATAATAATAAAGTCAGTATGTTTTTCAAGAAATATAGCTTCTTGGTCAGTTTTCTACGACTATAACGTAATCTCTTTGTCCCATGGATTTAAGTATAAAACTGATACTTACCGCATTTTTCAGCCGGTACACAATCTCCTTTGCTATTCCTATATGTACCGTTAGTACATATACACTGTGGGTGGCAGTTTATGACAGCCGCGATGCAAGCTCTTGGTGGTTCGTTTACATTCTTACAATCGTTTACGTCGCAAGGAGTTGGGCAAGCTGCCAAAATCTCATTCGGTTTCGTACACTTCTTTTGCACTGGAGCTAAAATTACCCAATTAAATCAATAAATTTGAATAAATTATTTATACTTTAAATATTAATTGATATGATACATCCAAGAAATGGGTGAATGAAGACAGCTGATGCCGAAGTAATAAAGCGCAAAAAAATATTATTCAAAATTAGGAACTCATTGCTTTGGATTGATTTTTCTCCAGAATTAAGACTGAGAATGAAAGTTAAATAAAATTAGAAACTATGACGTCTATTTTAATCAATAAATAGACAGGGTAGATTAAAAAGCTATCGTAGATACAAAAATAAGCTGCTGATGATGAAGAACGTAACTGCAATGATATAATATAAATACATACGGCAATCGGAAGCCAGGATACATCTGTCATCTGAGCTGCTCAACCGTTTATAATTGGCTTTGCAAGCGCATCCGGGTGGGCAGTTTAGTGGTGGCATACAAGCCACCTGGAAGGGGCTTTCGCTCTTAGGACAATACTGATTTGGGCAGCGGAATGAACATGACACGAACGTACCATTTGGACCGCATGGATCACCTCCTTGAATAACATTAACCCAAAAATATAAAACACTATACAGATAAAATGAAACACATAAGCTGATGTTATTATATATTCGATAATAGATTTGAATTGTGTTAATGTATACATTATACAGAAATTGTCGATGAGCGGTCTTCTTAAAACCCTGAAAATTTAGAACCAAACTGAGCAGAAATTAGGGATGAGTAAAAAAAAGGTCAAGTATCTTTTAGGTCGCAGAAACTACTACTTCCTACTACTAGTTACATTGCAACTTACATAGCTCTAAAAATCTCAAATAATTAAAGAACAGGGAAAGCACCTTTAGTATTAGTAATACCATTAAAGATAAACGTTGGAAATAACGATTACTCGAGAATAAATGTTTTGTACTCATCACATAACACATTTAGATCTGACGATAAGATTACTGTCTTATTACTATACCTATATATTCGGTGAATGCTCACTGTAAGATAAGTAAATGCAAAACAGCTAACCATAAACTTCCTCAAGCAGCATCAACATATTATGACTTACCTGGACATTTAGTCGCCGGAATGCATTCGCCCCCAGCCTCAGATCTTATGTAGCCTGGTGCACATTCGCAACCAACAGGTTCGCATTTTTTTTCACTCCTCTCACTTCTAGGCTTAGCGCATGTAGGGGGATTGGGTAATGGACACTTCTTTACTATAGCATGACGGTCACCATTGCAAGTTATATTTTCTAAAATAAAATCAAATGTGTAATAGTCAAACAAAAAAAACCTTTTAAGACAATTGAAGCGAACGCTTAGGAACCATGTTAGTGAAGTATTTTAAGTTCTTTACATAAAAATAGTAATCGTATAATTTGTACTTTCAATAAAATAGGTCTATACTTAAAAGGACTCAAAATATGCTAAATATTTGTCTTAACATTGTCATAACCACAATCATGAAATTGATACCTCATGGTATTATTAGTTTTCTGGAAGAAAAAGTAAAGCAATCTCCAATTTTTTATCGGAATCAATGACATATATATTTAGAAATTTTAATTTAAAATCTATATAAGTAATTTATTACTGTTCGAGATATATTATAATCTTAAAATTTTACGTATATTGTTCAGTAAGCAAGTAGGTAATTGTTCCAACACGTATCTTTAACACAACAGAAATTTCTCCACTTCACAAGCGTTTCAAAACAATAAATGACAGTAACTGTATTTTTGATATTGTAAGCTTACTTGGACAGTCCTCAATCCTGATACATTTTCCATTTCGTTCGGATAGAATGTAACCATCTTTGCAACAAGTGTTCGCAAACGGATAGTTACAATTCGGTGGGTTTGGTTCAGCACAAGTTGGAGCGCATTTTGATAGACATGGATTGTAGCCCTCTGAAAAGTGCACACATATATTTTAAATAGGATATCAAGTTAGTACCGACAAAAAAAATAAAGTCAAAATATCTCAAAGACACGTCCAGTTCATTTCTAAGGAAAATAATAAAAGCAGACTCTGGATCTTAATTTTTAACTAAAGAATGAGATCAAACTGTTATGTTTTGTAGTAATACGATATAGGTTCAAATCATCGCGAATTAGGTAAAAATCATAATGGACGCACTCCCTATCCCGTTCAAGGGTTTTTTATTAAAAATAGTATGTACAGAAATAAAAAGATAATTATTAAATCTAGATTCCTACCTAATAATTCAAAGAGTTGTGTGTGGTATGTAGTTTAGAAACATAAAATAATTTGTATTAGATTAGCCTGTTCAAAAGTTCCTTGAACTTACCACATTCGTTGGCTGGTATACATATCCCACTGCCGTTCCTATAATATCCTTCAGCACATATACATTGAGGTTGACAGTTCAACAAGAGTGTATTGCAAACACTCGGTGGGTCGTTTACGTTCCCACATTCTTCCGCAAGGCAGTCGGATGGGCACGATGACCACACCTCATTCGGTCTCGTACAGTTTACTGGGGCTAAAAACGATGGATATTACTTGCAACAAATGTAATTTTACTCACTCATAACAAAGAGGCATAACTGAAGTGCACATGAAAAAATATAGTAAATACTTGTTTTCTAATCCATACCTAACATGTAAATAATCAAATAACAATATTGATTTTATAAGTAACAAATATGCAAAAAAGTGATGAAACTACAAAAATCAAACACCCTTCAACCACGGAAGGTACTACATTCAGTAACAGAGCGCACTTTAATTTATCAATGGACTTTATTTTGATTAATATTAAAATGCTTTCAGAGGCAAAGACGCTAAATATAACATTTGTTGACACAATTTATGTTAACAACTTTAGTCGGAATACATACGACAGTCTGTTGATAGGATACATCTGTCGTCATCGTAACTCAACCGCTTGTAGTTGAGTTTACAACCGCATCCGGATGGACAGTTGCGTCCCGGCTTGCAAGCTATTTGTACTCGGCTGTCGTCTTTAGGACAGTATTGGTTTGGACAGCGGAACGCACATGATACAAATGTGGAATTTGGACCACATGGATCGCCACCTAAATAAAATTTACGAAAGTTTTTCTTTAGAGTTCAAGTTAAATACTTTAAAATAAAATATAGTAAACGAAAAGTGACGATTTAAGAATCAGCTTCTTTGGATTGCTATTCATCTCACATTGAGGGATTGAATCTCACTCAACATGCTCAACATTTAAATACACTCTATATAATCTCTAAACGAAAACAAAACATAATTTAATAACACTCAAATATTATAATTAGCTGAATTATATATTTACTCTGATCATTATAAACATAAATTATATACTATTTATAAACACACTCATCAAAAGAGTATAAGCAAGATGCATCATTTACGCAAACTGCAAAATTGATCAGTTGATATTTTATATTTTAGTCATAACATGTATTACTTATTCAAAGATATATTCGCTTTAGTCACTAATAAATCAAATTAGTTATTATAACAAAGCAATATGTATTGTGTAATAAAAATATTAAACAGAAAAAGTTCAAAAATTCATGTTGCTAACTCTTTTGAATAAGTATACTTTGATTATTTTTATCACTGCTAACTTTAATGCAATTTTGAAAAAAAAAAAATACTATAATATAATTACTATAACATTGAAAGGCAAGTAAAAAATCTTCAATTGTTGTTTTTTTTACATAGATGACTCCCATAGAATTCCCTTCAAATGACAATTCAATTTGTTTTATATCCCAGATCATAAGGTTTCGAATACTTGATGATTTATATTTGTCAGACCACTCACCTGGACATTGACCCACAGGAATGCACTTCCCGTCAGGATCAGGTCTCAGATAGCCTGGTGCACATTGGCATCCGACAGACGCGCAAGCTCGCTTACAATTTTTGTTATCTGGGCTACTACAAGTGGACGGACAAGCAGAAGGGCATTCCTTTACCACTGCATTAGGGTCACCGTTGCAACCTTGGTTTTCTAAAACAAAGTTTTGCTTCAACTAAACCACATCACAGTAGCAACACAGCATTTAAGTTTACTTTTGTTAATTTTGAAATTGCGAAAATATAATATGCAAACGCGCGCTGTGCACGCCACACTAATTACATCAGAGTAAACGAGAACGACGCATAGTTATTAGATTCGCTTAGAAGGACGGGTTCAAAGTGCAAACAAAGACAAGACGTTCTCAGTAGAGGTGGGTATACAGCGGGGCTATTCTGTGAAATTTTCACGCACATCTATATGTGTTTTATGTGTTGTTTAAATTCAAAATCTCCCTTAACAAATTTACAAATCGAAACCTTAGCTGTTTGGTTTTCAAGGGATCATAAACTGAGGAGCTGGCGAACAAAACGGTATAATTACGCATATGGCCAAACTACTTTCTTTTTACAGTACGGAGCTTTCGAGCCCATTGAATTTGAATCTCAAATAATTTTCAATCAAAACTATCTCAAACAGTGTTAAAATTACTAAATTTATAAATTAAACATCATGCCAAAACCTCACTATATATGTATATGTCATTCAGTTTTATGCAGCTCATGTAAAATTTAATTTTATGTAATTATCCCGTTTTCTTCGCCAGCTCCAACTCAACTTATTCCATGAACTTTCAGAGAACTCACAATAATCATTAAGTCCCAAATTTAACAGAATCCGAGACTGCATTATTTTACTTTTGATAAAAAAATGCATTGAAAATATTATCGATAAGAGCTTAGAACAGAATTTCTGCTTAAAACTACAATAGGGTATTTGAAAATATTTAGAAAACGATCTCACGTTATTTACTAATGTTTATAGAGTCCATAAAAAGTGAATATTCATCATTATGTTGTGTATTTTAGTAAAAAAACCAAATCAAAAACTCTATTTTCAAGTTGCCGCGAAAAACGTATCTCTGGACAATATGGCGTCTCACTGGTGTCTGACGTCACACGACTGTCATTAAAACGTCAAACCATACAATCAAATGTCACTTTAATCGGAAGTTTACTTGTGTGTGCCGTCATTTTAGGCTCCACCAATCCCAAGCGTTTTGGGTCACGTGACAATAGACAAGAAGACTATTATCTTTATCGTGAGTGTTTAGTAAAATTATGAATATTTTTTCTGTAAAAATAGTAAAAAAGGCAGGAGGCCAATATTCATTCTAAATAAAGATGCTAACAATTGGCACTTTATTTTTAATACTGTCAAATACCCTATTGTAGGTATATAGAGCGTATGAAAATCTTACCTGGGCATTCTTCTATTCTGATACATTTGCCATTTTCATTAGAAAGAATGTAACCTCTTTGGCATTGACAACCATCGATATTGCTCTTTGCTGGCTGGGCATCGGGACAGTTTTGAGGGTTGGGCACAGCACAAGTGGGTCTGCATTTTGAGGAAATTGGGCATACGAATGCTATAAAAGAAATTGTTTACTTTAGGAAGGGAAGTCACTACGAAAAGAGAACATGATGATGTGGTGACGTTATTTAATCAAAATTATTTATACAGTAACAAGAGACAAACGATAAAATACTTAATTTTAAATTTAGGGTTTGTTTTTGGATTCAAACAATTGTGAAATCAGTAATTTGTTAACAGCTGATGATTAATTCAGTACTATACCAAATCAGTTTAATTTTATACACATTATATTTATTGGTAATTGACGACGTTAATTAAAGTTAGATATTAACTTCGTTTTATCTAGCGACATATTGCTTAAATATAATATTTCAAGTTCCAACAATAAAATCAAAGCGGCAATCCTTCTTTATTGACAAACCAACCTGAATCCGAATGAAATAATGGCCACAATATTACAAAGCAGGTACAACTGACGTCATCTATTGTAAAGAGAAATGCTCAAGATCTTTTGTTCAGAACTGAAAAACGGAAATAAATCCCTGGCTTGCTGGGTGAATGCAAGAGCTTATTTGAATATCCCGGCGAAACAAGTTTTTTATGGCCCAGTAAATCTGATAGAAAATAAAGCGTATTGTTTAACTTTAGAGGCAATTTAAGACACTTCCTAACTTTAACAGAAGTCAGTTTAATGGTGAAACTCTGTAGATTAAGCTTGCAGAATTACAATATGAAAAATAATTTCTTGGGAAATTGAATTAAATTCTCGATCGAACAGGTGTTTTCTTTAACTTTTGTAACGTGGTTTCAAGAGATATCAAGATAAGTGACTATTTTTTTAAGTTCATAATGTTCCACTGAAATACCCATTTGTTATTGAGTAGACCGTTATGAACTTAAAACAAAAATATTACCAACTTAACAAAATTCTTAAATTACTGCAAAAATAGTTGCGGGCTTCAAGGACTAGTAAAACAAACTCCTTGTAGTGTGTTATATTTATTTTAGGCATTTAACTGCTTGATTTATAAAGTTAAAGAAGATTTTACTAGAAAAGCCTACCTACCTGCTATGCAAAAACAAGGTACTGCCTTGCAGCCTAAGAAATTCGACACAAATTCAAATCCCAATTCGTAGCATAATTGGTTAGAGCTTCCGCCCGGATAGCGGAGGAAGCGGTTTCAAGCCCTGTCTGCTGCCAGGACGTGGAATTTTTTCTAGTTAAATTTTCTTCAAACTCTTTGTAATTACTGATTCGTTCACAGCATTATCATAGCGTATACCAAGTGTTTATACTTCAATTTAATTGAACATTAACTTAAAATATTATAGAACAAACTATATCGGTAGGTACTTAATACTCACGGCATTCACTAGCAGGTATGCAGATATCCGATCCGTTCCTATAGTAACCATCTCGGCAAACACATTGGGGTCTACCACCACTGAGATAAGGTAAGTAACAAGGATCATTCGGTCCCTTGTCCTTGTCTTCGCATGTAGCTCGAATACAATTTGGAGGGCTTGGATTCCAAACTTCATTTGGTCTCGTGCAATTCACTGGAGCTGTTAAAACAATGTAAGTTGATGCCATATCCTTTGTGAAAATTGGGAAGAATCAAAGGATGCCGCGAGAGAGACCAGTACAAATACATAAAACGATTTATAAAAAGAAGTTCTTACATATCGGTATGTTAAGTCAAGCTATTATAATCCGAAAACAATAGATTCCGAGACTGACCAGTTTCAATCTTATAAAAAAAAATATCAGCATATCGGCATGCAACTTATGAAATGGTATCAAACCTCTTTTTATAAAAGTTGCAACATTGTCCTACCCTCCCTACCTGAGGTTAAGTGTACCGAACACCCGGCCGGTATGATATGCTCCTCTTTTTCTAACAAATCGATGAAAAGGACAAGTAGCATAGCTGTAGAAGACACACAGAAGCACACAGAAGCCCTTAACAAAATGCCTAAATAAAGTCCGGTTGTAAAATTTTCCACTACAGCTATGCTTACCATGTTGGGCTAAACCGAATTTCTGTGAATACCATGCTAAATCAAAATTAACTTACGGCACTTAGAGGATTCGATGCAATTGCGCTCTTCATAACTCTTGCGCAAATATCCACCCTTGCACACGCATCCTCCTGGGCACGGGAAAGCTGGATCGCATATCAGAATACCACGATTGTCGTCCGTTGGACAATAATTGTTGGGACAATCGATCTTACATCCTACGTACTGTTCGTTGGCTGGGCATGAGACACCACCTTATCGAACAAAAATGATACAATTATTTAATTTTATCTATCGTTTCAAACCTAGGATTTTATTATAAAAAACGGTATCAGACAAATAGTGCTCCAATTGTGGTTAAGATATCCTAAATTATTTTGATTAAAAATAAAATATCCCAAACCCTCGATTTTTCGCTTTTCAGATAGGTCATCTTACCAGTACCAAACCTTAATTAATTTCAAAGGAAACTATTACATCCACTAACTAACGTTCTTTTAACTATGTATTTAAAAGCAAAGCTGTCTTAATGTTCAAAACATCAAAATTAAATATTCTTTTTTTATTTTAAGTAGTTATGTTTTGAATTTGCATGCAAATTTACGGATAACGGATTTTAAGAATCACTTACAAAAACACAAGTGAATTTGTAAGCTGATCTTATCTTATGATATTTTTTTTAGCGGGAATGCTACCATGTACCTTGCTTTTTGCTATATGTCAGCCAAAAACACGCTACCTGCAATTACTTCAGTTACTCCGTAATCATGGCGCTTGCAACAGTGCAAAAACAAGGTAATGTTTTAGTGACCATGGAAGTTTAAAACAATATGATCTAATCTCATTACCTGGACAATCCTTAGGCAAGACGCATGTTCCGTTAGACAACAGATATCCTGGGTTACACTCGCAACCAATCACCAAACACGCCCTGGGACAGACTCCAGTCGGATTCGGATTCTGACAAGTCGCTGGGCAAGGGTTCGGGCATCGCTTTGTAGTGGCATTGGGATCACCCTTACATCCTTTTGCTGAAGAGTAAAATTATCGATATAGCTATATATAATAATATATCTCAATTCAGAAAGGTCAACATTGCATAATAATAATAAAAAGTACAAATTAAAGAATGCCTGAACTAGGTTACAGTATAAATTGTACCTGTATTTGAGGTTTCTATGATCTAAAATAATACATTTATGATTAATAAATCAACAACTTAAAACAGAACTTAGTAATAGTCGTCTCTGTTAGTAAATGTAAATTCTGGAGTAACGGTAGTTTATTTACAAATAAAAAGTAATTCTTCGATCTGCTCGTATGTCAGGCTGTGCAAATAATTAAATACTACGTTTTTACAGTTAAAATAGTTTAATACATATAACATATATACTTAACACACTATTTAACTTATTATATAAGAATGGTCTTAGGAAAGTAAGAATCTATGTGAAAAGATGTATTTTGAATCATGTGTAGTGCAGACTATATCTTTCCGTCTTTTGTTAGTGATATCAGAGTCAAAAGGAGAATTGGTGTGTAAAAGTCAAGGCCGTATCATCGGCGTAAGATATAATTTTACCATATTTTAGATTAAGGTTACAAAAATCATTGATATAAACGAGAAATAGGATAGGGCCGATTATAATTCCCTGAGGGATACCATAGCAGGTCATTTTTTGGTCTTTCCTGTTTTGACGCCTTGAGATCGATTATCTTAATAATTTTCAAAAAGTTTCAACTGCGTTCCTCTAATAACCAGTGCTTCCAACTTTTTAGAAGACGGTATCGAAAGCTTTTGCTAAATCAAGAAAAAACAACTAAAGTATGCTTTTCTTTGCCTAGTTCTAGGTTATGAACCGCATCTACTGTTGACATCTTTGCCCGAAAACCAAATTGCAAAGATGACAAATAGCTTTTTTTTTCAGATAGTCAATAAACCTTTTGTTAATATTTTTTTCTAATACTTTAATAAGGAGGGAAGCACTGATATTGGTCTATAGTTCTGTTATTTACTTGATCTTTACATCCACATTTAAAGACTACTACTGCTACTACTTTTAACTTTAACTTTTAACGTAACTACTGCTTTTTTTAAACATTGTCGGAAAATACCCTGCCAAAGGCGGTTTTGTAAAATGCGAGTTAACGGTGGTATTTGAATATGCTTAAAGGATTTGAGGATTTTATTGCGAACATGATTCATACCTTTTTGAATTATGGGGGAAATTTTTAATATGCCTCCAAAGGCGTTTCCTATCCTTGCCTGCTTTAAGTAGTTCATATTTTTCTTAATTTGCTTTTAATTATTTCAAAAGATTATATTATTTCTGTATATAAACACAAACATAAATACGTCATATTACCTTCTAGTGCATTACCTAAATTTAAATACGAATGAAGTATCAACGTCGAATATAATAAAATCATAAAGTTTCAATCACCTACACTCATTTCATAAAAAAAAACATCACACCTACATTGCTACGATGAGGAATCGAACTTTACGTCATAGATGATAAAGAGATATCAACTCGGACACCTCAATTCAGAATTCTTGTGTTATTCGTAAATTGTAATTCAATAAAAGTAATTTATCCAAAAAAATATCCTAAACTAAAATAGATTTGTTGAAACCAAATAAGAATTCGATGCGGTAAAATAGTATATAGGTACCGTTGACGCTTATTTTATACATCAATGATATGTACCTAAAACTAGTAATGCTGAAACAGGGTGTAGAAATAATTAACATTATTACGAAATTTAAACTTTTAATTTAAGAGCTTTTCAGTGAGCTCTGCCAAATTGGTTGAACTTCAAACCGAAGGGAACATTAATTTGTAAAATTAATATCCGTGACGCATTACAGTTATTCACTGGTCAGTTGCATTACGTGGATTCATGAAAAATGTTCTTCTATAATCCAGGGCAGTATTATCAATACTATAGTTATGACTGTGATGAAAAATCTTCGAAATCGATTTGTTTTTACATTGATTTGCGCGAATCTCTTACAAAGTAAAAGAGTATATAATTTATAATTTTTATTATTTTTAAAGCATGTAACTGCTTGCAGCTTAAGAATAGCTAGAAAGAATTTCGACGCGGTCCGTGAGGGCCGCGGTAGCATAATTGGTCAGTGCATTCGCCCGGATTGCGAAGGGTGCGGGTTCGAGTCCCGTCTGCTGCCTGGTCCGCGTGGAATTTTTTCTAGTTAAATTTTCTTTAGTATATAATTTATCACATCGTGAAATCAAAAACTACAACAATACCCCATTTGATATTGTCAACCCTTTTAAAGAAGACATACTCGTATTACACCGAAATTACATTAAGCATTATAGACAAATTATATAAGACAAAACTCACGTGGCAGGGAACATTTCTCGCTCGGAATGCAGATACCTGAGGCATTTCTCAGATAACCGTTGATGCAATTGCATCCAGGTCTAGGCAAACTAGGCTCGCAATTGTACGTAGTGTATATGCTTTCACAGGTTTGTGGGGGGCATTCGATTTTCTCGTTAGCTGCGATTTCATTTGGCCCACAATTAAGAGCTGTGAAAGAAACAGAGAAAGTTTTATGGAACGGCACTACTGACTACGACAGTAAAACGAAAAAATACTAATTTCGAAAGGCCCTTTTTAACTACGTGGCAAAAGCTCAAAATACAAATAGTGTTTTGTCGAAAATTTTGTGAAATATTTATTAATCATTTGTCTCCAGCTAAAGTTGTTTCAATATTTAAAGTTTTGAAAACATTCAACATAAACAAACACACAAAACTTTATTTCTGAAATATGTTTCTCTACACACGCCGTCTACTGCTCACGCAGCTGTCGTACAAAAAATACACAGGGCTGCGTTCCAAACCTACGATCCAGGTGTTTAATTTTATGTCAAAATTTAAATGTCAGAGTGTAAAGATGCATTGAGAATGTAGGTTTGAAACGCAGCCCCCGCTAGCGAGTGATATAAAAAATGGCTGATGAAACAATACCCGCCACTCACGGCCCGCGCAGTCCCCGTAGCATTAGCACCTCAATTTACGTTATATCACGTTTTTTATCGCATCTCACTGTCAAACTCCATAGTAATTTAACACTTGAGCGTGATAAAAACGGTAATATATCATATCGCGGTGCTCATGCTAGGTGGGCAGGAGTGATTTGTGTAGGTACGTGTTTTCCATCTGGCTCGAAAAGCAAAAACTTTGTTGTTTGAAACAAATATGTGTAGTAAAACAAAGTTTTGTGTTTGTCGTGAGACTGTTTTGTTGAATGTTGATATGTTTTTTTTTTCATTGTGTAGGACAAAACACGCACTGGAGACCCGGCTTAAAAAATAATATTTTTGTGTTTATGAAACAATATTCTTACGTGGTGGTGGACACTGGTCTTTTGGTATGCATATGCCTTCAACATTCCTCAGGTAGCCCGGGATGCAGTTGCAGCCAGGTTTAGTTGGTGCCAATATGTTGCATTTATACAAAGCAAATCTACCGGCACAAGTTTGGGGTGGACATGTAATCTTTTTAGTAGAGTACACTTCATTTTTCCCGCATAATGGCACTATTGGAGCTGTGAAATAATATTTGTAACTCAATTGACTTAAAATGACTGTATTCAACATTAGTCTCTACATCAAAGCCATTTATTTTGTTTTTCAGCTACTTATTGACGTTATTTATACAAACATAAGGACACAAATACATTGTTAGTCATAACAGTAGTGGGTAAGTAATAAACCATATATATATATATATTTATATAAGCATGTTATTGCTTGATGTTTAAATCTAAAGAAAATATTATTAGAAAAAAATCCACGCGGATCAGGCAGCAGACGGGACTCGAACCCGCACACTTCGCTATCCGGGCGAATGCACTGACCAATTATGCTACCGCGGCCCTGATGACCGCGTCGAAAATCTTCTAGCCATTCTTAAGCTGCAAGGCAGCGCCATCTCTTCGCATTATAGGTAACCCACAATGTCTAAACTATATATATATATTTACATAATATAACAATTAGCCGCCTAGTTTTATTTTGTGTCTGTCGTCAGTGCGACGACATCGTCAGGCATTTTATTATAGAATTGGAATTAATAGATGTCCATTAGCTAATTTTCGATAATCCGATGGGAACTTGATGTTGTACCCGGATAAAATACTTTTTATCCGGCCAAATTACATACATAACCGTTTTAGCGAGATAATTTATTGCTTTTGGCACGGACGAATAGTATTATTGATCCATGCCATTGGTAACAAACATACAAACTTAAGAATTTTTAATATATGTAGGTAGAATGTTTAAAGCTTCGATATTTCTTTCGTTTATGTATTCGCAAAGGCGTTATTGGTGAGAGAATGTTTTTTATACAATTGGACTTTTAAAATGTTTCTTTGCCTGCAGCTCACTAGTGTCAAATTATGTTTTCTATTGTGTTTTCCCTATTATCTATTAGATTAAAAATGTGTTAGTCAGCTTGTGTTATCAACAAAAATAGTTACGAACAAATAATACAAAACATCGATTTCTGAAGTTTCCTTACGTCGTTTTGAGCATAATATGCTTGGTATGCAAATGCCTCTTTTGTCTCTCAAATAGCCTTCAATGCAATTGCAACCAGGTACGGGTTTGATATTAGGAACGCATCGGTATTTAATATAACGACTTTCGCAAGTTTGGGGCGGACATACGATTTTATTTTTTGAAAATACTTCATTCTCTCCACATGTTGATGTAGATGGAGCTGTAAGGTTAATTCAAATTGTATTAAAATACCAAAGTTTTGTTTTTGTTGTTACCAAAGTTGTTTTTTTTTTATGAATATTATTATATTTATACATATATATAACACAATCAGGTATGCCTGAGTATGCTGAATTATATTTATTCCAAAATTTCAATCACTGATAATTTTGATGTTATCAATGTTGACCAAACTGGTATGCATGACACCCTTAGAATTCCTTAAGACAACTGTCGGGCCGGATTGACCGGGCGGAATTTCAATCAGCATCTTCCACAATCATGGCGGGAATTGAACCTGCGTCTTCCGCAATACGGGTGGAATTCGAACGTGCATCTTCTGCTATCCGGGCGGGAATTGAACCTGCATCTTCCGCAATCCGGGCGGGATTCAAACCTGCCTGGTGCAGGTGCCTGAACCGAGAGGAATTTTTCTAGCATGTTTTTCTTTAGTTTTATTTTCAGTTTTGTTCGATAATGTTATAGTAAATTTCTTACGTAATCGTGGACATTTCTCTTTCGGTATACAAATACCGCTGGAGTTTCTCAGGTACCCCTTAATGCAGTCGCAACCAGGTTCCGGTTTTGCTATATCGAAGAGGCAATTATACTTTATGTATAAACTATCACAAGTTTGCGGTGGACATATGATGCGATTGTCAGTGGCTACTTCATTTTCTTGACATATAGGAACTGCGAAGAAAAGTTAAATTATTTTGCTATGGATCCTGAAACTTTTTTTCTTACACTAACGACGAATATTATGAGTGAGGGACACGAGTTGCAAAAAAGTAAGATAATGTTTTCAGAATTTATCTACGTTTCTATATTCTATCCCAACTTATTATGCCTGAACATATTTGGATGTATCCAATCCCTATTCATACATCTCTTCGCGAGTGACACATGGCTATGGATATTTTTTGGGATAAAAACAAGATTGAATGACACCTATAAAAAGTTTTTAAAACACACACAATTATTTATCATTTCAATCGATACCTAAATTCAAAGTTAACGCGACCGAAGTCAAGGAGTAAAGCTTCTATTTATTTACAATAGTGCCCGCGACAGTTTCTCATATAAACTTCCACCCTCTTATTTGATTTCTAGGATAAAGGCAATCCTATCCTTTCTAACGTTTTCCGGGATCCAAACTATCTCTATACAAAAATTCATCCAAATCGGTTTAAGCGTGAAGTGGTAATACACTTTCGGATTTATAATATTAGTGAGTAAGTAAATTAGTAAGTACTAGTAAGCATGGATATGGATATTTGTTTCTTAGGTTTTCACGCACATCACTCATTAAATAAAACTAGTTTAAACGGGATAATGCACGAAACTTTATTTATTTATTGACGTTTCGTAGCCTTTACAGGCTTCGTCGTCAGAATAAAACTTTTGTTTAATTTGTCGAGCTACCTTCGAAAGCGTATTTTAATTTACTTAATAAAGTATTTTATTTAAAATTCTTGTTTGTAATTTTGCGTTTATTTATTTGACCCTAACTACCGTAAACTACCACCGGTTCCAAAATTGGGAGACCTTCCTGAGAAGAACCGGCGAAACAAACTCAAGAGAGGCTTTCTATCTCCTTCTTATGTTAAATTATGCAAACAAGAATTTTAAATAAAATACTTTATTAAGTAAATTAAATAATAAATTCATACATAGACAATAAAACTTAAAAATCGAACGATGAAATAACCAAACGCTCAATAAAAGTCTTTCGAAGGTAGCTCGACAAATTAAACAAAAGTTTTATTCTGACGACGAAGCCTGTAAAGGGTACGAAACGTCAATAAATAAATAAAGTTTCGTGCATTATCCCGTTTAGTTTTATGGATATGGATTTTCTTACGTATTGGTGGACATTGCTCGCTCGGTATACAGACGCCGGAGGGATCCCTTAGATAGCCTTTAATACAGTTACAACCAGGTTCCGGTTTTATATCAGGCCTGCATCTGTATAGAGTGTATTTACTCGCACAAGTTTGGGGCGGACATATGATTTTACTATCAGATGCTACTTCATTCTTCCCGCATTTTATTTCTGCAGAAAAGGACAAATAAATTAATACAAATCATTGAAACAAGGTTTTTACTCTACATGTGGTCTTCGGTTTATGAACGTGTAGTAAAGCAATTTTCGGTAAATCCGTAGAATACTAAAATATTATCTTCTTCGTGCTACGAAATTTGGTTAAGAGCCCTTTCACATTTTTTGCAAAAAATCGTTTCAACAGTTTCCAATAAAAGTAAACAATAGATTTATTCTTCCTATTGTAAGTTAATGTAGAATATTTGCAAATACTATTTTATTTTTTTTGTACTGATCGTTCTACTGCAGCTAGTTTACGGAAAAATATGCACAACTTCAAACGCCTCAATCTCTCAATCATGTTCAATAAATTACATCAAATTAATTAGTACGACATCCGAAATATGTTTTTGTTGTAACATAATGTATTAGAATTTTGATTTTCTATCTCATTAATTACCAAAAAAAACATCTAACCTCCGTGAGTTTTCACAAAGAATAATGCAGGTTTACCTCGTATTTTGATATTGAATTAAATAGAATTACTATCAAAAACTTTGATAAAATTAATCTACCATCACTTAGCTACTGAAATATGTATATATTTCTATAATTAGTTCAATAATAATTATTTATTAGACTCGATACATCACCCGTAAAATGCAATATATACTAGTGCAAATCTACCTACGCGCCGATCAGTACGGCAGCGGCGCAATTTTGTAAAAGGGCTCTTAAGATGAAACGGTTAGAGTCGTTGTTAGCACACACCAAAAAGCCGTGGACTATGAGTCTGACCACCTCCTTACAAATCCAGTGCCCTAGCAGTAAGGACTTTTAGTCTTTCTCGTAACATAGTACAATAAGATTTTCTTTTTACTAGCGTAACAGAAGTTGTCCTGTCCAATAAAAATATCAAAAAATCCTAAAACATGAATGCATAACCTGTCGGGTAGAGTTGCAAGTAAATTTAAATTTCCAATTTTCTGAGCAAGTTTCTTGACTTTTTTGTTTTTCGTCTTTAAATAAATATGGATATAATCGGTAAAGACGATCTCAATTTAGTGCGTGATCAAGGAAAATAGGGATTAATAAAATTACATGGAAACTCACTAGGGCAACAGTCATTTTTGACACAAGTGCCGTTTCGCTCTGTAAGTATGTAGCCACTTTTGCAGCACTTATATTGAGAGGGTTTGCCACATTTAGGTGGATTCGGCTGGAGGCAAGTCGGAGTGCACCTTGACAGGCAAGGATTGAAGCCCTCTGAAAGCAAAATAAATTATAATTGTAAGTATTGACTTTGTTAGTTGTTTTTAATTTTCGTCTATTATAATTTCGGCAAACTTTTTTCGCACATCTCGGCATTTCAAAGCAATAATTTCAACACGAAACATTGTAATTGATGTGCATATTTTTACATTGAACACTAAGTGGCGAGAAACGACTTACGAGTCCAGCATTTGGCTGATGTTTTTATCAACGTCATCTGCGCTGCCACGCTCTATCTAGAGAGTGAATAATCAAAGGCTTAAAGCTACAAGTCACTTGGAGTTTGTCAGAGTTGGATACCTTGACCTGTTTATTATTGTATCATGAATACTTAGGTATTAAAATTAATTTCTACAACAAAAGCCATGACATGGGAACATTTGGTATTTGCTGAGACGTTAACAAGCAACGATCGTAGCCAATCAAACAATGATTGAGAAATTCACTAAAGACCCAAACTGATCTATTTCGAATCTCATCAACGTCTAACATTAATATTAGTCGAATACAATACCCAGTTAATACCTAGCACAGTCAAGGCTGTTTCGATAGATGACGATGAAAATTTACAGAACCTTTAATACGTAGACATAAGACTAATATTCGAAGATACATATTGAAAGTATATTCGACACGTAGCCTTGAATTCAATCTGCACGTTAACCTCTAGCTTAGTTTTCACAAGTATTAGAATTTTGCAAATATATACAAGATCAGGAATGTTAATAATTGTCTGTTTAGCACATAGCCAATTTTATAAATCAAATTAAGTATTAAAACTTGGCGTGATATAGATAGTTAACGATATAATAATTGTCTGTTAAGCGCTGAGCACATAGTCAAAAATATTGTATACTATAAAAACTTTAAAAGAATTCCAGAAACGATGCAGATACCAGGCTATTTTTAGTATACTAACTTAAAAATAACATGACTACTTCTGTGTTTTGATGTTCCTGAAATATTCTGTTATTTCAAATATTAACTACCTTTTACTAACCTATTGTGTGCTACCTTGTGTAATATTTGACTTTACCTAATAAAAAACGACAAGTGAATCCTAAGTACAAAGCTATATGTATAGACATCGTGTTATGTGTTAATATTGATATTCTAAGAAAACTAATACTCACTGCATTTATTAGCTGGAATACAAATGCCGCTACTGTTCCTATAGTAGCCATCAGCACATATGCATTTAGGTTGACAGTTTAGTACAAGGCTATTGCAAACAACCGGTGGATCGTTCACGTTCTCACATCTTTCCGAGAGGCAGGCAGATGGGCAGGATGACCATATTTCATTCGGTCTCGTACAATTTACAGGAGCTGAAAATATAATAATTCACAGCTTACAACTAGAGCTGAAAATATAAATCAATAACAGCTACCTAACTCTTCTAGACAGGCGTGTACCATCCTAGACCTCATCATCGCTTTCCATCAGGCAAGATTGTAGTCAAACGCATTGCCTATAATGCATTAAAAAAACTCTTTCGATTGAAATTCTACTGAGTCTAAAAATAATGATGTCACCTTCGTTATTAGCTTAAAAGAAAACAAAGACAGCGTTAGGTTCAAACCTAGTTAGTTTAATTTAAATCCATGTTCTCGAATATGGCGGTTTAAGTTCTACATAGGCCCTAAATCTTAGGAAAGAACAACTATTCCCTACCCTATGGTAAGAATCACGTAAGTCAGAGAATGTTGTATATTAGGAACTTCGTGTTTAGTCTGTAGCTAAATAATAGTCTATGGTTTGTTTATGAAAGGAAATCATGTCTTTGACAAAATGTTGGTTTCTGGACTTGAAGTAGAATAACATAATCGATATTCATCTAAACGTGTAAGTGATTACAAAAAATAAAACAGTTACTAATGTGAGCAGTGATTTATTTTACAAACAACTTAAAATTGGCAACGGGGATGGGCTCGTAACCACGCGTGCTAGCACGAGGAGAACAGTCTTGAAAATGGAACTAAGTGGGTGCAATTCAGTAGATTGAATGCACTACGTAAAATCTAGAGTTTGTTTACAGCAAACTAATCCGAATTTGCGATATTGAACGTAAGCACAATGCAATTATTACCAAAGTCATCGAAAAATAGATGCCAAAGACTGCAGCTATTCCCCAATAGCTGCAGTCTTTAGCATATATTTTTCGATGACTATGATAATAATTATACGCCCCTTAAGATATGACTGTGCCCCCACAGTCATATCTTAAGGGGCGTAAAGTCCCTGTTTTAAAAATACTGCATGATTTTGGAGGAATAAGACCGACATTCAAATGTATTGATTTGTAAGAAAAAAACCTACATGATAAAGAAGATTGAAACTTTTGAAAAATAATAACGAATACATCTAAATACTTACGGCAGTCTGTTGTTAGGATACACCTGTTGTCTTTGTTACTCAACCGTTTGTGGTTGAGTTTGCAAGCGCACCCGGAACGACAAGGAAGTGGTGGCATACAAACAGGTTGGGGCCCATCGTTCCGGGGACAATACTGGTCGGGACAACGGAAGGCGCATTGTACAAATGTGCCGTTTGGTCCACACGGGTCACCGCCTTGAACAATTCATGAGCTTTATTTAATTCTATGAAGTGCTTGATGGCATAAATGGGTCTGCGATATCCGATCGCAAAATGAGTGACCAAAAATGTATTGTCTTAAGCTCTTTGGTGCTTCGGAAGGCACGTAAAGGAAACGTGTGGTAGGCCATGGCCCATTCTCCCTATTTCATCCAAAAGGATTGTTGCTAGGATACGTTTGTACACTATAGAAATATGCCTTGTGATCGACGTGTCACCGCCTTCAACAATTCATGAGTTTTATGTAGTTCCTTGAGGTGCACGATCGCACAAGTGGATGTGCGATTGTGCAAGTTAAGTAACTTTCACAATGGTTGGTCATAGAAAATGTGACCATAAGTGTATTGTATTGAGCTCCTCCGTGCTTCGGAAGGCACGATGAGCCGTTGATCCCGGCTGCATCTGCAATCGTTAGCACCCACAAATCCGCACCGGATATGCATGGTAGGCCATAGCCTATTCTTGATTTTTCCTTCCAGAGGAAGTTTTGTGCCTTAGCAGTAGGGACATTAAGCTGATGATAATGAAGGTGAAATAATTTAGGATTAGATGTCAAGAGCAATCAATACCGAAATTAAAATTAGTAATTTAATACAACATGAAGTGAAAATTTTAATATCTGCATTAACATTCTGCTGAGATTGGACGACCTCCGTGGCCGAGTGGTATGTACGCCGGGTTTCAAAGTGTCGCCTACTCTAGAGGGTTCGCATCCCGGTGGAGGCAGATGTTTGTGGGATGAATACCAGCATTTGTACTCCAGTCATGGATGTTTAATATATATTTCTACATAAATGTATCAGTATATGTATTCTACCTATTATCCCATATCACATGCCTACAGTGCTTACTTTGGGGCTAAGCTAATTGGTGTGAGAGTTGAAAATATTTATAATCTTTATCAATGGTAAATACCTGGACATTGAGTCGCCTGAATGCACTTTCCGCAAGAACTAGACTTCAGATACCCTGGTGCACATTCACAGCCTACGTTTAAACAAGGCAGCTTACAACCCAAGTTCTGGGGTTGCTTGCATGTAGATGGACATGGATTGGGACATGATTTCACCACTGCATTAGGGTCACCGTTACAACCGATTTCCCCTATAAAGAAAAGAAGTTAGAAATTTCAATATATAAAAAACTTAAAACCACAGCTGTGGTTTGTATACAATATTAGCAAACTGTTTATACAATATGTACAACAGGACAACTGGGAAAATGGCGTAAATATAAAAAATTAAGGAATATCGTCAGTTTCGAAGCTATTAACATCTTATGATGCATGCACTAAATGGTAAGTGAATAGAAAGTATTTCATTTTTTTGGGATCAAGCCTCAAATATTATTTTCAAAATATTTTGTAAGAACAGTTAACATAGGAACTAGACATTAAATATGATAGTTTTCTAAATTACTTTCAAATATTGCAGTACATACTTATATTACTAAAAAACTTTGTACCTTGCTCAACTGTCAAGTTAATATACGTCTTTAAAGATTTGGAATTGAATCTACAACGCGTAACTTATTTGCATATGTAGATATATTTCACGACATTGACTTACTTGGACATTCCTCCACTCTGATACATTTCCCTCCAGCTTCAGAAAGGATATATCCTTCTTGGCACTGGCAGCCGTCAATATTGCTTTCAGCTGGCTGACAGGCAGGACAGTTTGGTGGATTGGGTGATGCACATGTAGGCCTGCATTCCTTAGATACAGGGCATTCGGAAGCTACGAAAAAATAATTTAAAATAAATCAAAAATGTATTTTTAACGTATGTTAATTAATTTTCTTCCTAAAAAATATGTGTGTATTTATTTCAAAAACTCTATCAACTTATCACTAGGTTTTGGGAAACTATTCTTTAATTTACAGGAAACCTGTGTCCTCTCTTGATAAGGCATATTATTGTCAAAACAGATTGATTTTATTACAGGGTTTGTGTTTAGAACTCTTGTTTAAGATTTTGGTTTTATTTTTTGTTTGAATTTGAATAGTTTAATCATACATAGAACCTAATTCTGACATAGATATGTTTCTTTTGTTGGTGCAGTACTGCTGGTCTATAATTATAATGCTATAAAAAGGACTGCATTCCTTGATATTTAATTTATATTATAATTGATAGATAGTATGTTAGAATTAGATAGGTAGTAAGAATTCCAGTAAAATAAAGCTCACGACCTTTGCTTGGGTAATCTGGGCACTCTCTCACTATCAAGTCTTTTGGCGGCACTCAGAGAAGGCAATTTAATATAAATAATAATGCAATACTGAATACATGCAGGACTGTGAGAAAGTTTTTGAAGATATAGGAGACTTAACGCAAACACTCACATACATTTTACTTGGATTTTAATTTCCTGTAAAATGTAAAAAAAAAAAAAACGAAAAAGCCGAAAAAAAACAATAAAAATAGTCAATTTTAATTTAATATCACACCTTACAAATACTTTAACAATAATACATCCTAAAATATACTGAAAATGGTTTGCTTGTTTACATAGCCAGTGGAGATATTTCTGGAATAAATGCTTATAAGCAGGACACTTAACTTTCATGCTTTACCTAGCGTGAAAGATACGCTCCGGCAAAGTTCTTGAGCAACGAACATAGACAAGAAAGTCCGAGCAGTAGCAATTTTAGCATTTCTGCAGCACCCAAGAATTTCCCAAAAAAGACAATACAAAATGGCAAATGAATCCCTTTTAAAGCATTAGTTATAAGGGAAGTTTATATTATAGTGAGACATTGTAAATTCTCAAAAATATTCTTCTTACACGTATGGTGGAAAAATAAAAGCGCACTGGAAACGAGTAGACTTTAATTAGCTAAACAGTTCTCCGGGTTTCCAATGCATAGCAACTTTTCCGGCAAGCCAAGAAGCCAAATTAAGTATGTTTAAATCCATACTACTCGTAATAATACAAATGCGAAAGCGTGTATCTGTCTGTTACCTCTCCACATTTTTTCACAAATTTTACAAAAAGTGCTGAACCTATTTAGATTGAATTTGGCACAGATATAACTTGAGTCCCGGAAAAGGACATAGGATAGTTTTTATTTCAGAAATCATCCTTAGAGGGTGTGAAAAGAGGGGTGCAAGTATTTATGAAAAAACATTTTTTCTACGTAGACGAAATCACAGGCAGACAGGAAGACACAAGTCTAATATAAAGCATTTCCTTACGTTGTGGTGGGCATTTCTCGCTTGGTATACAGACACCGCTGGAATCCCTCAGGTAGCCGTCTATGCAGTTGCAACCTGGTTCAGGTTCTCTGTTGGAATCACACTTGTACAAAGTGTACAGACTTTCGCAAGTTTGTGGGGGACATACGATTTTATCCATGGATGGTATTTCATTCTCCCCACATACGGGACCTGTGAAAAACGATTTATTTTAAACGCAAATTATAGAAATATATTTTTAACTTTGTATTTTTATTTATAATAGTTATATTTTATCACGGTAGATAGATTAGTAGATGAAAGAAAAGTAAATAACGCACCTAGCTAAAGTGAGTAATTAAAAAACTCGTGTTAATATCAACATACAACATAACACTCGTGCATTAATAACTCACGTTGCGCTTGATGCAAAAATCTACGATTAAATAATTGTTTTTCATCAATAATGATTAGAGATCTTTGATTTATTTCTGATTGAAGAAGGTATTTTGAAGTCGTGGGAGGCCGCTAGTATAAAAGAAAGTACTCGTTTAAAATATTTTTGCCAATTCCTTACCAGGCGGTGGACATTGCTCGTTTGGTATACAGTCACCCGTGGCGTTTCTCAGATAGCCATCGATACAGTCACAACCAGGCTCAGGTTTTACATCTTCACAGAGGTAAGAAGAGTATATACTCTCACATGATTGTGGGGGGCAAATGATTCTGCTCTTTGTTGCTACTTCATTCTTCCCACATACGGGTAGGGAGGCTGCAAAAAATTTAAAGTCCAAAAAGATGATAGACGCGTACCAAAAAATTTTCCGAGAAGGCAGATTGGATACTGCTGCAACACGATATACGAAAATCAATCGAGCTGATCTCTATTTATAAAATTTCTTTCAAGAATTCTGAAGAACTTAAATAAAGGCGGTGACTGTACTTTTCTGATTTTATATAATATGTGTATCAACCGTTATTACTTAATTATAAAGGTGTGTCCATTAACTTTGACCGGCTATAGGTTGTGCTAAAGGATTATAAGTGAGCATACACAAAAGCACTCTTTAATAGTCAATATCTCATTTATGAGAAAGCTGCAAACCGCTTTGCAGAGTCAAACAATATTGGATTTTTAGACGATGCTTAAAAATGCCTTGGTGGTATTATCAAATGTTATTTGTTTCGTTGCTCGTTGCCACCAATTTGATGGTATAATGACGATGTTCAATGTAACTATTGATTCAACCGATAAGTCAGAACTACGCAGTTTTACGCAGAAAATTGTTCCTCTAAAATTTCCAGTCAATCAGTAAGTATGCAGCAATAATACGCGGCTAACCAAATTTTCGAGCAATCAGTCTTACCAGTATAACCTGTCAAACCATTGAGAAAATAATTGCTGTTGAACTCAGAAAAATTATTAGGTAATATGGAAAATATACTGATTGATGAACAGCGTGATTTTGGACGTAAGAGATCCACATTCATAAATATTTTTTTATGTGTCTTAATAAATGGACATACAAATAGGACAACCAATAACCGACGGATGTTGTTTACCTAGAGTATGGGAAGGGTTTTGATCACTTTCCTGTAAGTGACTTATTAGTCTAGGTTTTACTATTAGAGTGGATGGTTAGAGTTGGAGAAATACTATCAGATGACTTTAATGTGCACTGTGGTGTGTCACAAGGTTCTATACTGAGACCACCATTGCTTGGAATTTTTATCACTGACCTAAAATGTTTTATTTAGTAGGTTAGGTTTAGAAGTTTTTGTTTCAATATTTGCTGGCGCCACTAAAATACCCAATGTTAACCAATCGCAATATCGCATAATGTAATTCAAAAGGATTTGGATCGTATAACAAATTGGACTAGGGACTGGCTTATTTCACCGAACGCCACAAATTGTATGGTTTACATTTTGGAAATACTTACTTACTTCACTTATTATAATACCCGACCTAGTAATAATTTACTAGGTCGTTCTTAGATAGTTTTTCGTGTCTCTGATGTAGATAGATTCTGAGAGAGAGTCAGTTAAAATTCATATTTTTTTGAACTTCGATATTTTTTATAGTGGTTTGTACGCCAGGTTTCAAGTTGTCGCTGACTCAGAGGTCCCTGGTTTGAATCCCGGTGGAGAAAATGTTAGTATGATGAGTACGAGCATTTGTACCTAAGTCATGGATACTTCTTACTATTTATACGAGTATGCATTTCTAAATAACAAAACATAGTAATTTATATATCATATGTATTCTATCCGTTACCCTAGTATCCCATAAAACAAGCCTTACAATGCTTTCTACTTAGGGGCTAGGCTAATTGGTGTAAGTGTTTGAAATATTTATTTATTTATATCCTTACGTTGTGGTGGGCACTTCTCGCTTGGTATGCAGACACCGCTAGAGTTTCTCAGGTAGCCATCAATACAGTTGCAACCTGCTTCAGGCTCTCTATTGGAATCGCACTTATACAAAGTGTACAGGCTTTCACAAGTTTGTGGGGGACATACGATTCTATCATTGGTTGGTATTTCATTCTCCCCACAAATAGGTCCACCTGTGTGTGATGTTGTGAGAAAAAAAATCTTTTAAGAAGAAAATATGAAAAAAAAGGTCATCAATAATGATTAACCTTTCTATAATAATGATTGAAGCATGAATGTTAAATAACACTTATGGGCGTTTGCACAAAACTAAATTTGATGACAGTCGTCTATAGCTATATTAATAAGCACATAAATGCTAGATTCATAAACCGAAAAGAAACTTTTTACCTAAAAAAAACACTCGGTCGAGTTTTCAGACAGGGAATGACATCCGGATTACGGAAGGTGCGAGTTTGGTAATCATCTAAGTTGAGCACATCTTAAGATTTATCTTAGCGAAAACAAAAATAAATTTTGAAGATGTTGCTTATACTAAGGCATCTCTTTGTTAAGAGTCGCCGAAATAAATGTAATCTACAATACAAATAGGCATTAAAGACCTCATAGCAACACAAATACCCAATCTCTCTTTTCTTAAGATGGAGACTAAGTGCTAATAAATTTAAGATGTTTCGTTGAAATAGTTTCCTTAACACTCAAATCTTTGTTCCGTATCAAGGCCTACATAACATAGCCGACCTATTTTCTTAAAAACACTAATTTAAAAAGATAAGGTTTGGACTTGCAATGAAGAAAAGCACTCGTTTAAGAAAATTTAGCATCTCAACTCAAACAAAGCGCTCGTTCATAATGCTTATTGACAACTCCTTACCTGGTGGTGGACATTCCTCGTTTGGTATACAGGCACCCGTGGCGTTTCTCAGATAGCCGTTGATACAATCACAACCAGGCTCAGGTTTTACATCTTCACATAAGTAAGTAGTGTATATACTTTCACAAGATTGAGGGGGGCAAATGATTCTGCTCTTTGTTGGAACTTCATTCTTCCCACATACTGGTAGGATGGCTGCGGAAAATTGAAACTCCAAAGATGATGAACGCATAGGAAATATATATATATATATATTAATATTTCGGAGAAGGGAAATTAGATACTGCTGCAATATAATATATGAATGTCGCTCGCGCTGATCATTATTTTTTTTAAATTCCGCAAACACGTTAGGAAATTTCGTAAAAGAACACTGAAAGACGCGTATAGAGGCGGTGATTGTATATTTTTGATCTGATAATAATATGTGCATCAACCAGTGGTGGTGTGTCCATAAAGGTGACCTGCTACCATGAATATAGAAAAGTCATCTCAATCAACCTTAACCTTACTGCAAGCGGCAGCTTCGTACTTTATAAAATTGTTCCACGGTTACACAATTCCCAGTCTAATCAGTAGGAATGCATTAATATGCGCGGCTATTCTTCTGGCTCAGCCACACTTTAATGATTTATTTTGTGTACAAAAAGAAAGATATTCTACAACATCCACGGCATACGCTTTCTGGAACACAATGGCCAGTTCAATCCTCATTGATCCTCACATAACCTGTTTCGAAGATGCAGCCAGTAGCTGGCTTGCAAAAGGCCTCTGATTTGTATTTTGTAGTTGGCACACGTTTTTCTGCAATCGTTACTAGTCACTGCATATTTTTCGTGTGGCGGCCACCGGCGTACCTTGTGTGACGAGTCCATATAAAATGTATGAAAACTACAAGGAATATGCCGATGGCGGCGTTTTGTGGTTGTGGTCAGTGACCCATGTACGGCGACACTAACCTGTTTAGCAGATGCAGCCAAACGTGGTTTAATTATGTACGTGTGTAATTAGCGCACGTTTTTCTGCATTAGTTACTGTTCACTACACTTTTTTCATTAACACCACATTTCCGTGCTATAAAGAAGTATTCATAACTGACACATCACCATGTTAATGATATATGAAGAATAATTCTAACTTACAAACTGCTGATGCCTGAAATCTTGAAAGTCTTATATATTTATATCGCATGGTACTACATGCGTAATAAATAAGTAAGATTTCAAAGCATTTATATGACCAATAGTAATGACTCACGGCATTCATTTTCTGGAATACAAGGGCCAGTTCCGCCATCGTTGGTCCTCACATAACCTGGTTTGCAGATGCACCCCGTGATTGGCTTGCAAACGTCCCCAGGTTTGTATCCTTCATTGTTCGCGCACGTTTTCCTGCATTCGTTACTGTTAACTACATATTTTTCATTCTTGCCACAACTCGTATCTATAAACAAAAAGTATTGGAAAGTAGAAGACGTCACCTTGCGTAACTACATTATTAACAAGTAATTCTGACGGTAGTTCGATGCATGGATACTTTTTGGACCTTATTTCTAATTTTTTTTATAGATAGGTCCGACAAAAGACTCCACCCCACCTGATGTTAAGTGACGGTGAAGTCCAGACGTGGAGAAAGCTGGTACAGCAGTTCTACCTGCCACACCAGCCATCCTCACCTAGCCCGCCTGCATGTTGCTTCTTTACGCCTCTTTTAAGGGACCCCAGGTTGTAAGAAGGAGGGAACATAAATGAAATAATATACACCTGAATGACTATTCTCGCCCTGATTAGCGTTTTTGTTGTCGTAGTAGGCCCTCTGATATCAAAGTATTTATGTGGCCAATCACAAAGAATACACATCCAGCGATCAAAGGCGCAATCTATATTAGTATTCATTATCACAAATCATTCTTCAAGTGTTTCACTCTTTCATGGGACACCCTCGTTAAAATGTCAAATGCTAGACAAGCAGTTTGTCTCAGTAATAAATACGGCTAGATTCTTTTGAATTGCCGATAGTCTACTACAGTCAAATTCAGGATTTAAACACGCAATATGCTGCGTCTATATTAAACCCATTAACGATAAGAATCAGATACATTTATGCATAAAGATATTTTACTATATTCAAAACTATTTTCATAATAGAGAAACTCGACAGCAAAGAAAGTTTTCAACGCAAACACAGTGTAAAATGTTGTTAAGCGTATACTTACTAGGACAATCTTCAATTTTGACGCAAGTGCCGTTTCTCTCTGTAAGAATGTAGCCATCCTTGCAGCATTTAAATTGAGATAGGCAGCCGCAGTTAGGTGGGTTCGGTACGGCACAAGTTGGTGAGCATTTTGATAGACAAGGGTTGAAGCCCTCTGAAAGCGTAAAATTTAATTAAATGTTTGAGTCTGACAATGTGAAGCATCCAGAATAATCTGTTACATTAAAGATTTTTTAAATTCTCAACTGTTTTATTAGGTACGTAAAATGACTTGGTTTTACATACAATTTTTAATCTGCTTAGTAGTAACTTAATAACACTTGAAATTTTAATTTTGCGAATATTAAATAGTAGCCATATAGACCACTCCTCCAAGGTTCCTCTTATTAGCATACCAATATTACCCAAATTTAATTCCACGGCTTAGAAACGAAAAGTTACTTTAAATATTTTGACAGAATTACTTTCGCATTTACAACATTACTTTAAACCGATATCTAAGGTAATTCGTGGTATGTCCTAAAACTCGACTTACCGCAATCCTTGGCTGGTATGCAAATGCCGCTACTGTTCCTATAGTATCCATCAGCACATATACAACTCGGTTGACAATTCAAAACTAGCGTATAGCAAACGCTCGGTGGATCGTTCACGTTCTCACAATAGTCTACGGGACATTCAGTCGGGCATGCTGACCAAACCTCATTAGGTCTCGTACATTCTACTGGCGCTAAAAAATAAATAAGTATTTAGATATCTGGTGATAATATTTTGGTACTTGTTTGCTACACATTTGATTAATTCGTTAACATGCGAACTAAAGTTTTGTAATATGAAGGTAAATTGAAAGTTAGTAATAATATTGATTTATTTGTCTTGGAACGAATACTTCATGTAAGTTTATTACATTTTTCATTAAATGTGCATCAATTCTATTAACTACCGATTCTGTTGACTACTATGTGGATGTAGATATTGCCCTTTTTCGGGACTTGGGTTTGATTTAAGTTGGTGCTTATAGACCGCTGATGATGATTAAGATACTTACGACAATCTGTGGACACAATACACCTGTCGTCTTCGTAACTCAACCGTTTATGGTTGAGTTTGCAAGCGCATCCGGGTGGGCAGTCTCGAGGTGGTTTGCAAGCTATTTGTAATCGGCTGTCGTCTTTAGGACAGAACTGGTTTGGACAGCGGTACGCGCATTCTACGTATGTTCCGTTTGGGCCACATGGATCTCCGCCTAGACAAAAGTTCATAATTTATAATGGATATTTATTTACTTATTAAATTGCCGTTCTGCCGTTTGTTACTGGCTGTTTCAAGTCCATTTTTTTCTTTTTTCGCTAAACATTCTAAGTTCAAATTATTTTTATTTTTAAAAAATGGAATTCTTTTTTGAAAATTAGTCGTTTGTTTATTGATTTTTTCGTCATTATAAATACGTTAATAATTCGACTCATCATGGAGTACGTGTCGTGACAGCAAAGTGGCAGAAGCGGCACGCAACGTCAACGTCGTATACGGAGCAGATACTACTAACGATCGCACCACCGTTATTGGTTTGTCCGCTTCCATCCTGGAAATTTCGACCCAAGAAGTGAACCCCGTGGTCGACCTTAGTCGTCAATGACCAATAAAAGGCGATTGTGGAAGCTGATGATTTTCAATCTACATCTGAATTAGCAGCAGCATTCGATTATAGCATCAAAACAGTACGCGTCGAGTTGAGCCTTGCGCTGCTCAACAGGCACACAAACGAAGGTATATTGAATCGCATTGTTACTTGCGACGAAAACTAGATTCTGTTCGCAAGCGCTCAGCATGTTTGTTAGATCCTGGTTCAACGCCTAAACAATGCCCCAAACGAAAACTGACCCCTAAAAAGTGATGATCACTGTTTGGTAGTCTAGCGCTCTGGTGTCATTCATCGCAGTTTCTTACCAAACGGGATGAGCATTACTGCAGATGAGTACTGACTTCTCCTTTTTCCATTTGAAGATTCCAAGAATTTGGCTAACTTTACAGCGGGGGAAAAATTCAATAACCGAGAGGCAGTACAAAATGCATTTGAAGAATATGTTGCCGTTGTTGAGTTGTGAAAAAGGGCATCTATAAACTCAGTTGAATACGCTCATAGAACTAAACAACGTAAAGCAATTAGAAAAGATCAATGCTCTGAATCTGACATTCATCGTCACGCCTCACAGCTGATTTGCTCGCTAATAGTACTATTATCAAAAGTGCTTTCTAGTACGCTAATCTCGAGGAAAGAGTTTTCTTTCTTAGAAACTACAACAGAGAACTCATCAAATAAGGTTTTCGCGCCCGCACGAATGATGTTCCCAGTATAGCAAGCTTTCAGAGGCTGGGGTAACTTATCATCTTACGAACTGCAATGCTCGTTTGCCATGTTACGTAAGGAAGGTACTTATTAATACAGATCGTTATTTTGGACATAAATTTAGAAGGTACCAAACTAAATTGCATATTATTTTAAACTTTTATGATCTAACATTAGAGTAATAAACAGGATTGCTGCCACGTGCCTTACTTTATAGGAATAACAAATATTTAATTTTTAGCCTTTTTTTAAAGTAAATACCTGGACATTGATTAGCAGGAATGCATTTTCCATTAGATTTTAAGTAGCCTGGTGCACATTCGCAGCCCACTTCCAAGCACATCTTCTTACAAGGTATCGGTTCGGGATGGTCGCAAGTGGACGGACAAGGGGCGGGGCATTTCTTTACCACTGCATTGGGGTCACCATTGCAGCCGATTTGTTCTAAAAATCAAAACATAAGGCATCAGACAAGATTCAAACCTGCACCTACCATTACCCACCCGGATACCTAGCTAGCTAGATAGATAGTTAAATTACAAGTCTAGCAGTTTATTGCTAAATCAAAATATTAGCTAAACAAAAGAACTGTTCAACTATAGTCACGTTAGTTTTCAAATTTCAGATAACTATGTGAAATAAAGTGTCTAATATTAATGCAGACGATATAAGATAAGAGCATCTGAAAAGACACTTAAATGACATCGGTGATGTTGTAAAGCACGTTGTTCAGAAAAAGACCTATGAAATCTCGATATCAGTTAGTAAGTATGTATGATGCTTCATTAATGAATTTTAGGGTCGGCATTGATACAGATTATTATAATTGATTTCAGCATATAACGACAATGAAAATATGATGTAAAGAAAATTAATAGAAAACTAACGCGACGCAGAAATGGGACAAGTTGAAATTTTTTGAGTACCTACAAATAAAATTTTCTTTGAGTATTTTGATAGAACGACAAACTTACTTGGACAGTCTTCGATCTTGATGCATTTGCCGTTTCGTTCGGATAGAATGTAGCCCTCTTTACAGCACCTCTGAGGACTTTTACATCCTTGAGGGTTTGGTTCAGCGCAAGTTGGAGCGCAAGGCGATCGACATGGATTATTATAGTTCGCTGCAAGAACATTTAAGCATTTAGGTATTATCGAAATACTTCTTGCCGGTATATAATAGTATTCTATGCATAAGTTTAGGTCGCCACCAAAGGCATGCTACTATTACCATGTAATAACAAGTTCCAAATAAGGTATTTGACAAGTTTTAGAAAACGATCGCATGTTATTGACTTATGTTTATGGAGTCCGTAAAACGTGGATATATATCATTCTGTTGTGTATTTCAGTAAAAATAACCAAATCAAAAACTCCATTTTCAGGTTGCCGCGAAAACGTTTTTCTGGACAAAATGGCGTCTTACTAGTGTGTGACGTCACACGGCTGTTATTAAAACGTCAAACACTACAGTGTAATGGTACTTTAACCGGAAGTTTACTTGCGTGTGACGTCATTTTAGGCTCCGCCAATCCCAAGCGTTTTGGGCCACGTGACCATAGATAAGAAAACTTATCTTTTAATTATCTTTTTCGTTAGTTTTTAGTAAAATTATGATTATTTTTTTGGTAAAAATATCAAAAAGCTCTCCCAATATTTATTCTAAACTAATAATTGGCACTTTATTTTTAACACTGTCAAATACCCTATTTGATTGTGTCCGTGATTTTAGCAACATGATCAATATCAACATACTTAACTTGTTCATGAACATGAAACCTGAGAGCTGTCAATATCAACTTTATTTTAAATCATATTAAATCAAACATATTTCAGTATTCGACCTTAAAGTTTATAAGAACAAAAGTCTGGACAAGTGAAAGTAAGACCTAATTCACCATAGATTCCGTACTGTAATTCAAGATACTTCCAATATGCAATACAATTCTTGTATTCATGAAAACGGTTATTACAAATTGCAATGACATTTTGAAACTTTATTTAAACACATTCTCCTTATACACATTATCTCTACCTATTGCGGTTCATGATCCAAATAGACTGACGGCCATACGAACGAACAGCAGGGACTTATAATAGTATTTTTATTATCTTACCTACTATCTGACCCAGCGAACTTCGTACCGCCATAAAAATAGGGGCAGGTGGTAGAAGAGAAAATTAAGGGTTGTATGTATTTTTAATACCACATTATATAAAAATAAATCATTGTCCAAAAAACATTTAGGGGTGTGTAACGTAGTGTTCTATCAATTTCCTGGGATAACATTCCTCCTAACCCATATGAGAACACTACGTTACAATATCCATTACTTTAAATTTTGGAGCGAAGGCGCATTGTAGGTTTCAGAACACTACGTTACAGGTGGACAGCCATTATCACTTAAGGATATTCAAAATAGATAGTAGTCGATTCTCAGATCCACGGAATATGCATATAAAATTTAATAAAAATCGGTCAGGCCGTTTCGGAGGAGTATGGTAACTAACATTGTGACACGAGAATTTTATATATAAGATATATTATACATTTTAAGCTTCGGAAATGATAGAGTGAGTTCTTACCACATTCGTTGGCTGGGACACACAGATCGGTGGTGCTGTTTCTAAAGTAACCCTCAGCGCATACGCACTTCGGTTGACAATTCAACAGTAGTGTATTGCAAACAACCGGTGGATCATTCACGTTCTCACAGTATTCTGCTAAGCAATCTGACGGACATGGAGCCCAAACTTCGTTCTGCCTTGTACAATTTACTGGCGCTGAAATGTGTTATTACAATAATGAAATAATCAAGGTTTTTCGGATTCTTTATCTTCTGATTATTTTATAACCATTAGTTAATGCCAATAGAAAAATTATTTGAATATGTTACACTGTACATGCAAGTTTGGACTTACTCCAAATAGGTAAAGATAATTTGAAAGTAAGCCAACTTTATTGCCAGTAAAGTAGGTAGGTTGCCAGGAGTAGTATCTGGGGGTCTTAAATTTCATTATTTCAAACATTGACATCGGCGAGATTCCTTCCTATATAATCTTTAATTGTCAAGATATTTTCATGTAAAATCAAATGTACAAATACGAAATGAAGCGTTAAATTTGACAGAACCATATTGGAGACGTTCTCTGTCTCCCATTGACGCCTAGTATTTTTTATAAAAAATCTCCAAAACCCAATGAACAGTATACTATGCAAGAAGCTTATATACAACACTGGAGATTGCATGTAGAACTTCTGTGTGAAGATGAGTTCATTAACCCCATGATATGTTTTTTTATCTCTCTCACACACTATCTGAAATTACCACGTTAAATACAAGAAATTCCAATCAGAAAGTGAAAATAAACAGAACTATGCAAGATATCAATCAGTTTTACAATCTCCAGAAGTCCTACTCTTGTATTACTATTATAAGATGAGTGTGACAAATTCTAACCAACTACTTTGAAATCAACGCTTTGATTTATAAATTGTTTAAAGACGATACCAGTAAGTATGTATCCTAAACGTATATTCCAACATGGTCACCCTTAGAAAGAGATAACAAACATATGTGACGTCATTCAAGGCCATATTTTTTCACTTCAAGGTATTGTTTGCACTGCAATCTCCAGTGTTGTATATAAGCTTCTTGATACTATGTCTTTTTTAAATCATGATATTTTACATGATGTCAAACGACATAGCTCAAGGACAAAACGTACTAGTCTCAACTTTGGTTTTTCTTAACAATTAAAATTATCTGAAAACCTACGGCATTCTGAAGAAACTATGCATCTTTCGTCCTCGTAGCTGAGTCTCCGATGGTTAATCTTGCACACGCATCCAGGAGGGCATGGATAGATAGGATCACATACAGGTTGTACCCGATCGTCGTTTTTAGGACAATACAGTTCTGGACAACGGGTTGAGCAATCGGAAAATGTTCCATTTGGCCCGCACGGGTCTCCACCTAAAATCAAATATTGGCCTTATTTTTATTGCTGTCCTATGATATACTCCTTGATGAATGATAACATAAATGATAAAACGTTTAAAGGAGTAAAACACTCTTTAAACGTGCGAAATAAAAACAAAAATCGTCAAAAAACACATAGTGACTTTGTAGGCGCAGTGACGCTATGTCACTCAAGAGTAATGTAGCTTTCTAGAAGAAAAAAAGTTTTTGAAATCAGTCCAGTTTATTTTTGAGATCCGAACACCGTACACTTGCTTAAAATTGAGATTAAGCCATGACCCACCACGCGGGCCCAGTGTGGATTTGCGGGTGCTAACCTTAGATTATAACAAAAAGGGTAGATACGGTACGCTCCTACTTGCATCAAACAAAAACTGATACCACGGCAGCACGAACGGGACGGCGAGATCCGCGTCACTGCATTACCGACCCGAACGAAACTGCACGTTAAGTTTCAACGGCAGCGCGAACGAGACGGAGATCCGCGTCACTGCACTACCGACCAATCACGCGACCAGTACTCGACATCACTACCGAATAAGATTCAAAACAAACAGCATTTTTTATGAAAAAATATATTTTATAGTACTTACAAATGAAAAGTGATGCCGTGGGTTTTATTTTTAGTTCTTGAGCAATTTGAGCACTTTTTAAAAACACACTTAGGCATTGTTTTATCATAAAAACACAAAATTTAACAATATTTCTTTTTGGCGTTCACATGTACGTCGTTTGCATGTCAAGTTGTGACTAAAATGATCAGGGTCGTGGACCACAATTTAGGCGGAACACTTTTGTGAGGCTAGTGCCGTATCTACTCTTTTTGTTTTAATCTAAGGTGCTAACGGCTGCAGATGCAGCCGGGACCAACAGCTTAACGTGCCTTCTGAAGCACGGAGGAATTCGAGATAGAAGAATTTTGGCCACCCATCCAATGAACGACCCCTGCGAAAGTTGCTTAACTTTAACGATCGCAGCCGAACGCGCTAACCACTCGCGCTATCGAGCTCCTCATTAGCATAATATGCTTATTTATTCTGAAAATAATTATTGATTCTTTCCAGTTAAAAGACGTCAAGGTTAAGTTATTCGAAGTATTTGCTTAAAATTTGCCATTGTACATAGCAACAGTAATTAAAGCTGATCCTTATTTTCCCATGCCAATATAAATATTTATCTAATGTTTGATTTTACTTAAAAATAGAAGATTTAAGTAAATATAAATAAATAATAAAATTAAATAACAGATCTGTGACACACAGATTTGTATGAGAATGCCTCAATTGAAATTGCTTTAAATGCCAATGAAATACTCCATATATTAAAATAAGTATAATTAAGATGTTACATCCAATATAGCCATGACCCCCCAGGCCTTAGCCAACAGATATACATAAGATTGATACAGTTGTTGAATTTTCTTTGTATAGGTATACCACAAACCAACATACATTTGCATGAGAGTATGGAAATTCAATAGACTATTTTGGAGGAGAATATTTTGGCAAGTGCGTTTCAGTTAATAAGCGCATGAAATGTGGTGTGTTGTTTACTTTGGTGTTAATAAGGAAATAATTACTTTGCCTGGTAATTGAAATCACATGTCAAGAAGGTACACTGTACTATCCTAATATGTTATTTTTTTTAATAGCTATATATGATTATATGATGTTGATGGCGAAGTGATGAGGCCATTCGGTATGCGATCACTGCAGTTAAGCTACTTTCACAATAGCCAGTTTAGGGTGGCTGACAAACTCAATTTTTACACTGGTAACCTCCTGACACTTTGTCAGAACCTGTAGGGCCGATTTTTTAAAATTAAATCTCACTACCGATTTCGGTAGCTGCCATTTTAGGCATTAGTTTGATATGTATTATGCCATTACACGGAAAACTGTCGCTATGTCTGTAGAAACAGTCCGTATTAGATATTTGACATTTGTCAGAAATCCGAATAAATCTAATCGTAAGTGAGATTGCATCTTACGGAATACCTTAAATATAATATTTTAGAGTCTGTGCGGAAAGAGAATGGGCGTGGTGAAAAACGGAACTAACGTTAAGATTTTTATTTGGCAATCAAACCCAGCAATCTGTAAAACGTCAAAGTTTTATATTGATACGGATTTGTTTGTTGTTGTGATTTCTAGCGGTTTTATGTATTCATTCATGTCTTAAAGGGGTAAAACCTTACAAATACGGTAGAAAAGCACTGCAGCGCCCTCCAATCTAAATCCCATTCTCTTTACGCACAGACTCTAATTAATTATTGGAATATGTCCTGGAGTCCGAAGTTTCACTAGCGAAGTTATAATTTACTTTTTTGATTTGATTCACTAAGATTTTTACGACATGCGCTTTCATTGAAAAAAGTAGAAGAACCGAGTAAGCGTGGTAAAAGAGCTATAAACGAGCTCGTTTGTTCCTTTCGCGAACTTATCGGAAAAAGTTTTTCTTGCTAGAAATAATAAACTATTTCGTTACGTTTCTTCGGCACCTACTTTCCGCTCATTCGCAATGAGTGTCAGAGCCACAGATTTGACTGTTAGCAACAAAATGGATTACACCCTAAATAAATTGTACTAGATTTCAACTTTTAAAATATAAAATTCAACTCGATCGAGGTGTCAGGCATGGTGGAATATGAGTTTTTTTTAGAAACATGTTCTTTAGTATTATACAAGAAGCTTATTGCTTTAAAAAAATATAATAAAGTACTTACCTTTACAATCCTTTGGCAGTACGCATTGTCCGTTTTCTTCTGTGAGTATGTAACCCGGTTTGCATTGGCAGCCTACTGGCAAACATGCTTTATAGCATAAAACTGTATTTGGTCGAGCGCATGTCGAAGGACAAGGCCAGGGGCAAGTTTTGACTACGGCGTTAGGATCACCATTGCAGCTCTGGTTTTCTGAAATACGATTGCACGATATAAGTTATCATTGCAGTATTGCTGTATATACAAATTTAAACGATAATCTTATACATAACACTCCAAGAGCAACGAAAAGACCTAGAATAGGTCAGCCGCTAAATTACCAGGGGATTTCATAGAACAGGGTCTACCTATTTTGGACTCCTGTTTCCCATTCCCGACTAATTAGGCTACATTTCTATCTCATGCATTACTTTGTATCACAAACAATAATTTATGAAAAATATACCTAGGTGATTAGCCTACCACAGATCGTTAATTAGATTCGAACATCAAATCGTACTCAATGCCCAATTACATCATATATTTAAGAGAATATGATTCTTTTAACGATCTAGAATATTATAATTTTCATGAGCTTTATCATCAGAAGAAGGCATCAACTATAACACGAAATTATGTCTAACTTTAAACAGTTGCATACTTACGTGGGCACTCTTCTATCTTGATGCATTTGCCATTTGGATCGGAAAGAATGTAGCCTTTTTGACACTGGCATCCGTCAACGTTCCCAGACATTTCGACTGGGTCTGTTAGACCCAGACTTGCAGGCATCATATCGAAGCATGACGGTGGATTCGGGTTTGCGCATGTGGGTCTGCATTCCCGAGGTATCGGACAAACGAACGCTACAAAAGTAGTGGATTTTGATACAGTTTCTGCTCACAACTTCGATGGCGCGAACTTCAGACTAATCACGCGGGGAACAAGAGGTTTCTATACCGGGAGGAGCAGCTTGATAGAGCTGGTGGTTAGCGCGTCTGACTGTTAAGCAACTTCTGCAATGGCCGGTCATTAGATGGGTGATCAAAATTAAGTATCTCAAGCTCAATAAATTAACAGTTTACATTAACTAGACGTTTTAGAATAAGTGACTTATTGTAAATTTACCATTGCGTGTTGGCAACAACTTAATTTAGGCCCCCCCTAGCATGAGCACTGCGATATGTTATAGCTCGTTCAAATTACTATGAAGTTTGTCAGTTACTCGCGATATAAAACGTGGAGTACCTAATGTACTTAAATTATGGTGCTCATGCTACTGGACAGGTGATAATTTACGAAAATTCATATTATCTATATATATAAAACTCAAAGGTGACTGACTGACATAGTGATATATCAACGCACAGCCCAAACCACTGGACGGATCGGGCTGAAAATTGGCATGCAGGTAGATGTTATGACGTAGGTATCCGCTAAGAAAGGATTTTGATCAATTCTACCCCCAAGGGGATAAAATAGGGAATGAAAGTTTGTATGAAACTTTGTCAATTTTAAACCGATCGGGCTGAGACTTTGCATGCAGGTATAAGAAGAATCATAGATGAATATCATTGTGTATAATACGAGCCTGAGAACAAAAACGATAGTCTACACTTCAGCTCTACACCGAAGCGAAGTGAGGACGGGCCGCTACTATATAAATATATTTAAATTTTTCCGTTATTTATAAATAATTAAAAAATGTGGAAGAAGAAAACGGATAAACAAATTTGGATATTTGGCACACATTAGGTTCCTGGTGATTTTCTCGAAAACATAACTATAACGCGAAATCGCAGGCGAAAGCTAGTAAAATATATCAAAACAAGTCATTCCGCCTTTGACTAGGTACAAATTATACTTACGGCAATCAGTAGCTAAGACACATTTATCTGGATCAGAGTTAAGTCTTTTATAGTTGGCCTTGCAAGCGCAACCAGTTGGACTGGGCACTACCGGATCACAAGGGTAGAGTCTGGTGTCCTCTCTGGGACAGTACTCGTAGGGGCATGAAGTTATGAAATTTGATAAGGTGGCATTTGGCGCGCATGGGTCTCCACCTAAAATAAGCAAGAAATTAAAGTATTTTCTTCGTTAAGAAAGTGATAAGCAAAATATGTCATAGCATAGCGAATTGGAGCGCCTGTCTGGGGAAGTAACCTCCACCGTTCAGTGTATCGCCACAGTATAATAGCACTGCCTTTTGCTGGTGTTGTGTTTCTGTCGGTGAGTAAAGTTCCAGGACTCCACAGGGTAGAAGATTCGGTCAAGGTAGGCAACAGCGCGTGTCATATTTTTAAAGTGAAAACTTCTTTAGCGGCGTTGTACACTTTATTTTTTGTATGGGTATTTTTTTTTAAACTCGCGTCAGGTTAAACACGTGGGCTGATTGCATCATGACACACAATAAAATTGGAAAGGTTGTTGAGTTTCAATATTTGGACGAAACATAGTAATATTTTATTTTACCGTATTATAATAATAAGTCTCCATCTAAAACGTCCATGTGGCAGCTTTATTGCGAAGAAAATGCATTTTTTTTACAATAGATGTCGCTAGGTGCGCTTAAACGTGATTCATGTAAGTTGATTTTTCTGTGAGATAAACTTTTTTAATGTAATATAAATTGTCATGTTTGTGTACGATAGCGCAATAAATAAATATTGTATTCTACCACATACATGATAGCACTTTTATAGTGATAATTAAAGCAATTCGTCCATAATTATTCCCTAACTATACCAAAATATCAAAAATGCACAACGTTAATATTCAAGTTTTCACTTCTGCCGGCACTCCCGGAGTGCAACCCGTCGTTTTTTTGTATAGCAAACGTCTGTAGGTCAAAGTGGCCACTCACACCGAGTCACACCAGGCGTGCCATATGCTTGTTTACCACCCTTTTAGTTATAAAATAAAATAAAAAAACCAAACGTACAAGGGCACTCTTCCACTTTGATACATGTGCCGTTCTCCGTAGACAGAACGTAGCCATTGTCGCATACACAGCCGGCTGCAACGAATGGCTTATTGCAGTCCCTGGTGTTTGGCTTGGCACAAGTAGGACGACAAGGCCAAGGGTTATAGTTGATCACAGCATGAGGATCTTTGCATTTTGGTTTTTCTGTAAAAAAAAATCTGTCGTTGTAATACAATGATTTTATTTAAAAGCATAAATGTCAACAGCGCGCACGCTATGAAGACTCGAAAACAGGCCAATTGGAGCGTTTTTAACATTGTGTATCAATGGAGCATAAAGCCTCAAACCGTACAGACCGAGGTTCTAATGTGTACGCTTGTAGCTCGGTTGTAAACGTAAGCCTGCAAACCGCACGCGTACCGCTCGCAGCAGGTTAGCGAACCACGTACACACTATGCTTTTTGGTTACAGTGCAGGCAACGGTTACGGCACGGTAATATTATCTATACAGTATTGTGACTCGGCCCTGTCCTTGAAATAACTGCCTACGGCCGAGCGGGGCGTAAACACGCGGTAGGGCTGCCCGCCTACAGTATTTAAATTTCATCTACATAATTGAGTTTCTTTCTAGTTTTGTGATTGTAAATATTTTATTTCATGTGTAAAAAAAAATATGTGAATGAATTAGGAAGTGTTACATAAAATACATGTTATTTTAAGTGTAATATTTAATAAAAAAAAATACAGATTTAAGACAGAAAAATATTTACGCCTAGACTGAGACGTACTAAAAGCTTTTTTATTCAGAAATCAGAAATCAATATATCTTTATTCAAATTGGATGTATAGTAAAACTCTTTTGAATCGTCCAAAAATTTTTTTTCCCTACCACTCGTTATGGACATATTTTTTAGCTTTTTGAGCTGCGGCACTGTTGGGGTGGTGGCTGCCGGTTCTAAACAGCTCGCTTAAGAGCATCCCACGCGTGCTCTATTGGGTTTAAGTCAGGAGAGCCGGAAGGCCAGTCTAACCTTGTGATTTCGTATTCTCGGAGAGCAGCATTGACTCGTTGAGATCGATGTGCGGGCGTATTATCGTCAACCAGTACAAATTGGTGCACATGATTTTCTCGGAAAGGTCTGACGATTCCATCAATAGCGACTGTTTTGTATCTGTCTGCCGTCATGAAGCCATGATAAGGGATTAAAGGCGTTCTAGCCCTAATCATAATACCACCCCAAAAGGACACTGATTTCCCGCCTTGCTGAACCGTTCCAGTGGCCGTTCTTTGCCATTCAGTCTCCAGGTCGGCAACGAAGAGGTAGTTTTGCCAAATGTTTTCTTCTTCGTCTTCTTCGTTTTGCCGGAGCCTAGCCCACTATAATCTCCGTCGCTGACGTTCCCGTGAATTCAAAGGTGCTCGCCAAGACCTGCGTGATCGTAACCCAGCCTTGTGTAAGCAATTCCAAATGGTCTGAGTGCTAACTTCAAGTCTGGAGGCGGCCCGTATTTCTGCTTTTATTTTAGTGGCATTTATTGTTGGGCCGCGGGCTACCAGCAACCTGATGTAGCGCTTCTGAGCAGCTTTCAAAACAGTTGGGCGATCGCTGCGGGGTCGATCAGTTAAATTACTCATGCCGTGGTACCTCTGCGACGTGGTTATTCCACAGGATTGGTATATGGCAACTTTGCCTGCTATTTCTCTCGTAGAATAGCCTTCTTCCCTCAAAGTTACAATTCTGGCTCGTAAAACATCTGATAATCCTCGTGGCATTTTTTAAATCACAACTTTCCGTGAAAATATATTTTGAATTCGATAATATTGACAAAATCAGATTTCTGAATGAGTTTCAGCCTGGATTGCATGTCTTTTTATATGGAAAAACAATTGAATTATTTTATTGTTTTACGTTCTAATTCTAATTTTAAAAATTAAGAATCTTATCAGAAAAAGCAATTACAAAAAAATCTTCTGTAACACAAAAAACAATCTATTTTTCAAAGAGATCGCAAACTTTTTTTGATGTGTGTAGATGTTAGTTTGCATATAATCTCCTTTTTTGTAGAGATGAGTCGTACTAGGCAAAACACATACTCAGTTTTAAAAGCACGAGTGCACTAAAATACTTAATCCATAAACCTGTTCCATGAGTATTTTTGCCAAAGCAAAAAATACAAACAATATAATATAATAATATCATCATCATCATCATCATCATCATCAACAGCCTATCCTAGTCCACTGCTGGACATAGGCCTCTCGCACGCACTGCAATTGTGCGTACCACTCAGATTGATTTTGGGCTACTCGCATCCAGCTCCTGCCAGCCACCTTGCGCAAATCATCACTCCACCGTGCCTAAGGACGTCCTACACTACGTTTGCCGGTCTCCACTCCAGAACTCGTCTACCCCAACGGTTATCGGTTCTTCGGCAAATATGGCCAGCCCACTGCCACTTCAGCTTACTAATCTGGTGGGCTATGTCGATAACTCTGGTTCTCTGTCGGATTACCTCATTTCTGATGCGATCCTTCAGAGAAACGCCGATCATAGCCCTTTCCATAGCGCGCTGAGCGACTTTGAACCTGTCATCAAGTCTTCGCGCAAGACGGTTCGTGATCACTCTTGAGAACAGCTTATAGACGTGGCTTAGAAGGGATATGGGTCGATAGTTCTTGAGTAGGGTCTTGTCCCCCTTTTTAAAAAACAAGACGACCACACTCCACATCTCCGGAGTTCTCCCTTCGAACAGGACAGTGTTAAAAAGCTTTTGGAGCTCCCTCAGTACGGGTTTACCTCCAGCTTTCAAGAGTTCTGTTGTAACACCATCCTCTCCAGGGGCTATTCCATTTTTAAGCTGCCCAAGAGCAATCTCGATTTCGCCAATACTGACTTCTGGCAGGTCTTCGGTGAAGTGACGCGTTAATGTGACTCTAGAATCCTCATTTCCGGGATCTGGTCGAGATGTCTGTGATGCGTACAACTGGCCGTAGAATTCTTCCACTTCCGAAATGACTGCCGGCTTTGAAGTAACAACTTCCCCACTTGGTGTGGTCAACTTCGTCAGACGACTTCTTCCAAGAGATTGTACGAACACTTTGGACCCTCGATTCTGCTCGATCGCTCTCTCGATCGAGAGAGTATTGGAGCACCGGAGGTCATGTCGTACATGCTTACTGATCTCTTGGTTTAGAGTCCGCTTTGCCGACGAAGTGACGGGTGGATTTTCACGTCGTTCCTTCATTAGCCCTAAAGTCTCTTCGGAAAACTTTGACTTCCTACCCTTACGCTGCGTTGCACATAATCTCGTACCCTCTTCCATGAGGATCCGAACCACATTTTCGAGGTTTTGGTTTACGTCTGATGTGGTTTCCACGGCAGCAAATCGGTTCTCCAGATTTGACTGGAACGTTTCAGATCCTGTTATAGATTGGAGCAGAGTAGGTCGGAGCCTGGATTTCATTTTTATGGTAGAAGGAAAGCAATCCGCGCCATCTAAGTATCCCGCAACTAATGTTTATACATTAGTTGCGGTTCAATGAATTGTAGCTACATTTTAAACCCGAAATCGGCCAAATTTGAACAATGTTGATTTCTTAGTCTTTAGCTAAATAACGAAACTAAACCATATCGCAGTGTCAAAAATAAACAGCGCCATCTTCGGACAACAATATTAAAATTGATTGAAATCGTGAATAAACAGAAATACCTAGGATTAATAATAGATGATAGATTGAAATGGGTCGATCATATTCATAATGTATGTGACAAATTGCGAGCAATACTATCTAAATTTGTATTAGTCAGAAACAAAATTCCATATTCCATACTTTTGCAACTATATAAGGCATTGGGAGAAACGATTATAAGCTATGGGATAATTAGCTATGGAAGAACTGTAAAATCACATTTGGACCTTATATACAATATACAAGTTAGAATTTTAAAAGCCATAGTTCCTAATAAAATTAAAATTAAATTCAAAAACAATATAAATGAACTCTTCTACCACTGTAACGTTTTGCCTGTACACGATCAAGTCAAATCTAATCTGATCTCAGTAAACTATTTTAATGAAAACTTTCGTATTATAAAGCAGCACAATAAGCAAACCCGTAGTGCATCAGCACTTACATTCAATATCCCAAGATATAATAATCTTTATGGTAGGCAATTATTACAGTTTCAGATACCCAAGGTAATTAACGAATTACCAATATATGTAAAAAAAGAAATTAGTGAAATTAATATTAAGAACGTACTAAAAGGATATTATTGCTCACAGTTATTAAATCAAGAATAACATATTTAATATAGTAAAATTTGATGTTTTTCAACACCACAATACAGTAACGGTATTCAGTAAAATCTGATGGGGAACCCGCCCGTGTGAATAAACTCATTGCTTTGTTCGGGGCGACCGCCGACAACTCGTAGAAAGAGGGTAGATGCAGATGCGAAAAAAAAAGATCTAAAAGATGACGAATCCCAGTGCTCGGTAAAACCTACACAGGTTTTTGTAGCACTGGCTAAATGTATTGTTATTATTTATAGTAATGTGAAATTCAATAAATAAAAAAAAAATCAAGCCCAACGGTTTTAAAAATTTAGACCTTCTGGCAGAATACCTATTGGATATTGAAGTCATTTTTTCAGGTCCGTGGAAGGCATAAGCTGTACAAAATGTAACGATGTCCAAAGCGTCGCGTCGCTACCGCATAGAGCGATCAGAAAGAACTCTACGAAGCCCCAGGTGTACTGTGGTTCTGGATTGGCTACGCGGCTAGGATGTAGAATTAGAATTACAGCCAAAGTTATCGACAAATAAGTTAAAGGCCAAACGATCAAATAAATATAAAGGTGCAGGAAGAAATGACGGTGTAGGTATCTGTCAATATTTACATAGGACATAGATCAAAGAAGCAAGCGTGTGTACCATCATCATCATCATCTTCGCATAAACTCCAATTTTAATTGTACCAGTTATGCTTACGCGAAAATGGACCACGCAATGAGAAGAACATACATTATAGTACATAACAGCATCCTTAAATAATGCTCTATTTTAGGTCCATGATTTTATCCGCCAAGAATAAGAGAAATGAATAAGATGTTAATTATGGGATCTTCAGTTCACGGCGATGGAGAACATTAGAGAACCTATATGTATGTTTTTTTTTTCTTTTTGGAGTTATGTAACCTCCTCCAGTTGGCGGATACAATTGATCGTCAATCAGAATTAGTTCACAAAATCAACATTCACGCGAGCGAAGCCGCGGGCAAAAGCTAGTACATACATATAACATTCTAGTAAATATTGAATCCTTTTATGTTTGTTTGTTTGTGTACAAAAAGAAAAAACGACTGACCTGATTTAGATGAAATTTTACACACATATAGTTTATTATCTCGATTAAGACATTGGATACTCTTATCCCGGAAAATGTTAGATTCCTGAGGGATTCTAAAACAACTAAAGTTCTAAAAGGCTCTCACTAGTATATTATTTTTCTTAAACAATTATTAAAATTGTTATTAATTAATTTGTTATTAAAATTATCAATTATTACAATAGAAATAATTAAATTTGGGAAACGTATTCTATTTCCAGTAAAAACAATTTGTGGATTAATTAATTCTTTAAAAATTAAAACTATTTTAAAGTAGTCTATCAGTAATCTGTTGGGCCCGTATTAATAGATCGCTCAACTCTTGAGACTTCGCTCTTGAGATACTGTTTTCATACAAATCAGCATCATAAGATCGCACTCAAGATTTCTCAACTTTGAGAGGGATCTTTAATAGGAGACCTTAGAATACACAACAGCAGGAATTATCTATTAGAAGAAGTCCCGAGTATAATAATGAGTAATACAGTATCATTATATACTCACTGCATTCGTGAAGAGGCACACAGATATCCGATTCGTTTCTATAATATCCGTATTGGCAGACGCATTTCGGAACGTAATCGCGATAAGGACGGTCGCAAGGCTCTTGTGGCTTGAAAGCGTCTGCGCACCTCTCGCGGAGACAATTCGGAGGACTTGGATTCCATATTTCGTTCGGTCTCGTACAGTTCACCGGAGCTAAGAAAAAAACAAATCTTAAAAAAAACTTATTACATCATCTTTATCACTGGAGCTAAGAAAAAAACATAAAAAAAAGCCTATAAAATTATTCTCATCCTATTATTTTTCTACTGCTAGGGCATGCTCACAGCCTTCATTACCCATTTGCACAATGTTTTAATGACTAAATCAGTTGCTGCTGCCAAGTAAATAAGTATTAAAAGATAGTCAAAAACTCTAAAGTACAAAACTTGATAAATTGCAAACATGTCTGTCGAGAAATCCTTAATCACGCTAATGTAATAAAAACATTTTAACAAAAAAATTAAACCGCTGAAAGAAAAAACCGGCCAAGTGCGAGTCGGAATCGCGCACCGAGGGTTCCATACAAACCTGCGAGGTAGTAACTTTCTTTTATTAAATAGATGTAACCAAAAGTTTACGGTTTTCGCAATTTTTCCTTTATCTGTACTATAAAATGGTGCCATGTCAACCCAAGAAGAAAATGGGAACTAAGTAAAATCTATCAGACATGCATGGCACCGACTCCAAATATTAATTTGACAAAAGCTCAAAAAAAAGTTTATTATTTTTTTGCTGTTCCGTGGTTTATTTTTTTTGTCGGCTCGGCATCAAAATCTGTGACTGAACAACCACCCCTATTTTCCCACCCTTAAGGTTTTTGTGTTTCTAAATTTATTTGGGACCAACTTTGAGGTATATCCTAACCAATAAATGAATAATTATCATAATAAAAAGTCATGTGTGGTCATAAATTACAATCAGTGAGTGAAAAATTAATCATTCCCAGTCTTCCTACACTTAAGGATGGATTTTTTTCCAAATTTATATGGGACCAAATTCGGAATATTCCCTTTCCGACAAAAAAGAATTATTTAAATCGGACAACTCTGTAAAAAGTTATGCGAGATCATACATTAAATAAATATATGCGTCGAATGGACAACCCCTCCGTTTTTTCGTCGGTTGAAAAGTTATAAAGAAATTATACAATACTAGCAAACCAGTGAACCAAATGTTCACCAAAACCTGATTTCTCGAAAACCGGAAGTGCTACGTTACTCAAATCCGGTTTGTAGTCTTATCAGACTATTCTTAACTTATAACTTAAATATTCTCTTTATCTATCTCTTACGGTTTGGCTGCTGAAACAGCACCACAGACAGACGGACTTGTCTAATAGATAAGAGATAATGCTGATTTTGAACTACATTCCATGTAGAATTGATTTTGATTTGAAATTTTCCTAAAATTATTTATTAATCAAACAGGAACGATATTAAAATATAACTCACGGCACGTGGAAGCTTCTATGCAATAAGGCTCCTGTCTACTCTTGCGCAGGTATCCGGCCTTACAAGTACAACCCGAAGGGCAAGGGCGTGGCGGGTCGCATATAAGGATGCCTCGTCCATCCCTGACTGGGCAGTAGCTATTCGGACATTCGACTTTACAATTCACGAACTGTTCGTTGGCTGGGCACTTAGGTTCGCCTTAAATAAAACATTACAAAATCATTAGATAATTCCATTCCACACACAGGAATAAATCTTGATTTATTACTATGGAAATATAATTGTAAAAAGTCTAATCCCCACATAGCCGCATTTTTGGGAAGGAAAATAAGGCTCCTGTTGTTAATTTTCTTTGCCTTCCGAAGCTCGAATAAACTCAGGATAGTAGGAACTTACGTAATGTGAAATGTCAAATATTTCGGTGATAATGCGTAACTTCTAATTTCTATAATCGAATTAGTACCCCTAGCACGAACCATTATCGAATTCGAATAGTTTCCAAACCGAAATGTCAATGTCAAATTTTGTATGGAAACTTGAACAGCAGCGGCACAAAGTACGTAACGAGAACTAAAAATCAGTACATATTTGACAATGACATTTCGGACTCGCAAACGATACGAATTCGATATTGGTTCGTGCTAGGGGTACAGAATGCTCCAAATATGCTCTCTATCTACAATATTGAGTAATATAAACCCACCAAAAATATTTTCTTGTAAAATGTTTTCAAGCAGAGATGATTCAAAAAGTTAACAGATCTCATGTAGAGCCAAGCTTCTAAATCTACCCTCCTTATCAATAAACGACGAATAAGATAGGATTAGTTACTCCATGTTTTATCTCCGTTCATTGAATTTTAAATGACACTTGAGTGACATGAACAAAACACGGCGTAACTAGTCAAGGCTTATTCGTAAGGTGGGTACGAGTCCCCCAAGGGGGTACAAATTTTACATACTCTTACACACTTTACTCTAAAATGCTTTAGTAAAATGTATGACTTCACGACTGTGATACTTTGGGTTCACCCAAGTAACATACATTCTTCATGTTTATTACTTTCCGGTTATAAAATAATTCTAGTGTTTTTTTAGCCAATCAGAACTTGGTACATGAATGGATTTTGTGTAACTGGCTTTGTGGTGTTTTTTTTAAAATAGCTAGATGTGATCATACTGGTTCTGCTTGTTTTATATTTGCTCGTTGTGTAGTTCCCCGTTCACGTTGCTAATGTATAAAGAATGGAATCCCCGTTTCCTCAATATTGCGACAAAACAATTATACCTTATTTGTTTTGGCTTATATCCTTCGCACATGATGTTTAATTAGACACTTATTACTATCTGTTGTTTCTTGTTAAAATATAATTATTAGGAACTACACTTTTCCTGTTTATTGGCATTTTTATTGCCAAACAACAGAACATAACATTTTTACCAAAAATCACATTATCATGAACAACTTTTAGAGAATAATACATTTGAAAATGCCCCACCTGCCCTAACATTTTACGGGCTAAAATATTCAGATGGGTAGGTACTTAATAAATCAGGAATCTCTCTGTCATATTTTATCTAAACCCGTTCAGCCTTATATATATTTCCACACACTTTCACACTTGTTAAATATTATCAGGACAGTAAGAGCTGTAGTAGCTCTTTGCAAAAGTTAATATTTTATTTTCTAATATCAGTCAATTGTAAACGTCATTAGCAAGTCTGATATCGTGTGTTAATCGTGACTTTACGGCTATATTTGGAATAGGTAGTTTATTTATATGGCTCTTTGATAAGAGACATGTAAAGGCGCTATCCCACGACCCTTGTTGTCGCGTGCGAGGCCGCGCGGCGCAGGATTGCCAAAGGTATGAGAACTCTAACGTTCGTGATTAGGAGTCTCTATATAAATAAAATAGGTAAATAGAAATCTCGTACACCTTGTGATGGCAAAATGAATCTACACTTACTGAGTCGATCCTTTGTGGCCTGGACATTTATTTACTTTCTGATAATATTTTTGGTTTTTGTACATGACACAAACAGTCAACATTGTTAAAATCCAGTGTACGAAATTTATATTAACCTCGTATCATGCTAAATCTCGAATTTTACAGTTCTCATTGCGGTGCGTCCTCGCCCGCGATAACACAGGTCGTGGGACAGCTCCTTAAGATTTTCAATTCTACAGTTCCTTTTTTATCCACTTACCAACAGATAAACGAGGAAGCGAAGATGTGTATATAGGAAACAATTTAACTGTTTGTTTACCTTCTATTAAAAAAATTATAAGTAACTCACCTTGAGATTCGCAATCTGAAGGTTCTTTGACCAAACTGACGCCCAACGAGTGAGTCACCAGCCCCAAGAAAATTAATATTAAAGGCATGACGACTACTCGCTCACTAAGTTTTTTTATCACAACACCATCTGTTATATATCCACCTTGCACGGGCAAACAAGAGATATATTAAAAGGAAAACACCAATGAAACAATTGATCGCTTTGAGTTACCTTACTGAATAGCCGCAGTTGTGTAAACTGTCTTAGTTAATAAATCATTTTGACTGAACATTGTGGGTGATGCGATAGGTGTTGGAGATATCCGTAGTAGGTTCGATTCCGCGTCCGGTTAACTAAATAAATATATCAATCACAAAAACATGCCCTAGTAGTTGCAAAAAAAGGGAATTACAGCACTTATCTGTAGGAAAGAAATTATGAAAGGACATTGCTCGTTCCCCATACATTGAATGGCCCAGAACGCACAGCAATGAGAAAATTCTAGTTGTGTTCGGAATCAAGCACAAACTCTCATTAGGCATTTGTTGAAATACGGACAACTTGAGGAACCGTGGCCTACTACAGAATGTATTCGATTTTGAGATAATAATTATTATACTTAATCATAAACGATGTACACTTTATTTATTCTGAATAGATTTATTGTTTACCTCTATGTAAGCACTTAAATAATATGAATTAATGAACATAAAATGTAATTAATAATAAAAATAATAAATGCTCAATATTCATATTGATTTATGAGTGTTGGCAGTTGGCACCTATGATAATTATACCTACCTGTTTAATAATAGATTTCTTTTCAAATGAAATGTTTAAAGGCTTTCCATTTACCTCTTCTATATTTTATTATACCTGGTTATCATTATATTACCTGGTTTCATAAAATTAAATAAATATTATATGGGATGGGAGTATAAACTGCTTTTATACAATTTCAGAAATTATCTACCTATAAATATAATATAAATACTGGTGATAAGTAGTTATTAACTAAGGAGGGTGGGTACCTAGTATATAGCGCGCTTACTCTCGATTTCTGGACAGACTAGGTATCGCACACTTGAAATGAAATAAATAAATAAATATTTCCAACACTCACAACAATTAGCCGAGCCCCAAAGTAAGCACTATAAGACTTGTGTTATGGGATGCTAGAGAAACGGATAGAATACGTATACTGTACATATATAAGTATATTTATATAGAAATACAAATTAAACATCCATGACTGGAGTACAAACGCTCGTATTCATTACACAAACATCTGCCCCCACCGGGATTCGAACCCGGGACCTCTCGAGTCGGCGACACCATGAAACCCGGTATACAAACCACTCTGCCATGGAGGTCGTCATTGTATGGTCTAATTGTCCCTTTATACACAAACGGAAAATCTCTTTTAAGACGCTTTTGAATTTAGATGAGACAGTCTCTTGTGGCTCTCATGACAGCAAATTGTGTAGTAGATACAGAACTATATTTTTTTTACCACAGAATCTCCGTTTACTGTGATTAATTTCTAATAAAGTAAAAGAATAATAGCAAAATAATAAGTGAAGGACATTCGTTTGCACATGCTGGAGCAGATTTCATCGATGTCCTTTTTGCATCATATTTATGCTTCCTATCAAATCATTTATCTCAGAGTAATCTATTTAACTACTTATAGAAAATTCTTCTGAAGTTATTTTTTTTACCAATTAAAGATCATTTAAATTTGCGATTTCGTTTCCACTTGCGTCGCCTTGTCTTTTAGCACAGTTGATTTTTAGTTTAACGAATACTTTGCATCATTTATATGTGTCATATAAAATTCGCTAGCAAAATTATTTAATTTAAAGAATTTCTATTTCAGTCCCTTCTGATAATTTCGTTAGTATCCTGTCCAACACAGATTGTTATCACAAAATTTAACATTCACCTTAATTGACCTTTAATAACAAAATTTCCATGAAACGTTATAAGAAAGTATAAGGATTATTTAAAATTCATGATATATCGAGTTTCTCAAAATTATGTTAACTTACAAAGTTACTTCTTACTAGAAAGTATTAAAAACAAAGTACAGGATTCGTACATTTATACGGTATTATTTGGCTCCATCTTAAAATGCTATTCGAACCAGAATTCCGCCGAAAACACTTTTCTAAAACGAGCTTTCACCCGAAAAGATGTTACAAAGACGTCTTTAGAAACAGGTGCAACCAAAGCCTGTATTTTATTGAAGCATCCCACTTAATTATTAAAAGCGGTTTTAGGGGTCGGAACTCTAGTCTAGTAACCACGAATTGCAACATCTTCGACCATAAAGAGCTTTTGAGCATACCTTTTAGAACGTCTGACCTTAAACAGACCTTCTCTAAAGGACTGAAACGAGGGTCCAATCTTTGAATATTTAAACGCACAGCTTTATTCACGGAATGTAGGAAACTGAAAATGGTACTGAATTAAATAAGTACTTGGCCAACATTTATTTCTTACAGTGTTTAGCTGGGCCGTTTGTACAGTTACATAAAAGGTAACATAGCCCGATATTATAGCACGTTTTCAGCTATTTTATTGCCTTCCTTAAGTTAATAATACTCCATTAAAGTCTTTATCTATTGCTCATGAAACACTTTATTGAATACATGAACGTTATTAACAGTTTCAAATGTTTTCGAATTCTAACAAACAAACAGGAAATTTCAAGTGTTCTGTGATTGTAATAACCTTCATAAGCATAACCTTCATAACCATAAGCTGTGCCTAGGGACTTCCTGTAGGGAATACATAAAGTCCCTAGGCACAGCTTATGATTATACCCAACTTGAGATAAGAATTGTTTTAAGTAAAGCATACATACACACATCAAAAGTGTCTAGGGATCAAGCATTTTTATGCGGATTTCTTGAGATTGAGATGTGGCTTTGTAATAAATTTATGATTTTATAAATTTATATGGATCCTTTTTGGTGCATTTCATAATTTGAATCAGGAACTGTGAATCAAATTCGAGTAAAAGATGAAAATCAGCTGTCAATATTTTCCCTATAAAAACATACAACGCATTGAAGACATTATTAGTGCTACTGTTTCCCTACTACTGATTAAAACCAACGTTATTATGGAGCGGCGACGTCATTTAAGCAGGGAAGAAATGCTCAGAGCCGTGGGAATGATAGAAGCTGGTTCCCGGCAACGTACTGTGGCTTTAGCTCTGAATACAAGTCAGAGTGTTATCAGTCGACTTTGGACACGATACCGAAGCACTGGTACCGTGGCTGAGCGCCATGGAGGACGGTATCGCTGCACCACACGGAGACAAGACCGATACATTCAAATCTTAACTCGAAGAGCTCCAACAATAACCGCCATGATGTTAGCCGTGAGGCTTCATCACTCTTCAGGGAACTTAATTAGCGACCAAACAGTCAGAAACCGCTTGCATGAAGTGAACCTTCATTCCCGAAGACCGCTACGGGTACCACCTATAGCAATGCACAATCGTAGGATTCGATATCAATGGGCTCTTGAACACAGAAATTGGGCAGAAGAACAATGGCGTTTCGTGTGCTTTTCTGATGAGTCTCGTTTTGGTATGAGACCGGATACAAGACGTATACGACACTGGAGAACCCCTGGACGCCAACAGCGATTAAAATCCTGCCAGGAAGTCCATCCTTATAGTGGTGGAACCATCATGGTATGGGCGGGTATTTGGATCGGCGGAAGAACTGAGTTGATTTGGATCAGAGGCAACCTCAACGCTCAAATTTATGCTGAGACGATTGTATCAGACGTCATCGTTCCTCTACAAGTGCAAATCGGTCCCTTATTTCAGTTAATGCATGATAATGCACGACCGCACACCGCAAGAGTTGTAAGACAGACTCTCGCCGCAGCTAACATCAATGTCCTGCCCTGGCCTGCTCAGTCGCCAGACTTGAACCCGATTGAGCATGCATGGGATATGCTATAGAGAAGAGCTCTGCCGAATATGGAGGGTATCCAGTCGCAAGAAGACCTTTTTTTGTTGTTGCAACGAACATGGGCGGCCATTCCACAGCGTGATTTGGATGAACTCATTTTGAGTATGCCAAACCGATGTTCTTGTGTTGTTAGTGTTCGCGGTAGAAATACGGATTATTAATTGTTTAAGTTACCCAATAAAATTTTAGAGAAAACTGTTATTTCAGTCTTTTTTTCGAACTTTTGTGTTAGTGGTTCAAATGTCAAAAATCCCTTTATTAGGAAAATGGCAAATTTCTTTATTAATGCAAAGGTGACTTGGTTTATCGTTACTGTGACAAACGAAAACACTTTATTTGATGAATCCTTAAAGAAAATTTTAATTAATATCAATCAGGAGAAAAGTTATTGCAAAAATATATGTTGATCCCTAGACACTTTTGATGTGTGTAGATTACACTTATTCCATCGCTCTTCAAGCAGAGATTCGATTTCCATTTATTCCCATTTGAATTATTAAAAGTATATAACGATAACGGTCCGATTAGTTATAAGGTGTTTCATCAAAGTGCATGGTTTAAACTTACAAATGATAATCACAAACATTACTTTCCGGTTTTAAAAACATGCATTCATAATCCACATAATAGGTACTTAGTTAAAGTTAGCACCAACTAGGTAGGACAATATCAGTACCACATGGTGGTGATGTTTCTGACCTTTGTTGGTGATTAAAGTTTAGATTGACAAGATGATTCATTTTTTGAGTGCACCAAGTGCAGTGACCAACAGCATATAGCTGTTTACAAATTAAGTCAGTCAGGGTTTGGGGAACTCACTAATTCTCAAGCCGAGAATTAGTGAGTACCCCTAGAGGTATACAAAGCGGATGGCATCGCCCCTCGGGGGAGTCTCCTCTCGGCTCTAGACCACTTGAAACTTAGGGGATCCATCGGCTCAACTAGTGGGCGTCCCTAAGACTCGGAACCCGGCTCTAGTTAGCCGTTGTCGTAGGGATGACAAGATTAAGGTGGCTGGGGCAGCACATTTTACTGCCGCATCAGCTATCAGCTAAGTATCTTTCCAAATTTACTCCACTACTTAAAACTGAAAAACAAATATCTAGGAAATTTGATGAGCATGGCATTTGTTTTGGGATATTTTTTTACAACAATAGGCAGATTAGTAAGAAAGCGCATAATAGATGACAGTTATTACTTTCCGTCCGTCCATTTGCATACGAACAGATATA